AAGGGTTTTTTTTTTGTTTTTCATTATTTGCATCAGCAATAACAAACAGACATTTCATGACGGAAAAGCATAGTAAATATTGCCTGCAAATCAAATACTCATATCGACACCTCAGCAACACCCAAATGTCATAATTATTTCATCTTTACAAAATAAGCAACCACAGCAGTTTGGAAATGAGATAACGTGCAGTTTCATCACCTCTTGCATTTTTCCTTCTCCCAGTGCTCCATGCCAAGCTTATCCAGACTGACCTCTCTGTGTGRCACCAAAGCTTTGCTGATTTACCCCACAGGGTTAGGTCCTCCCCATCACCCYTGTTTCATCCTGCCCCTAATCCCTGCATGGGGTCTAACCCCTCCCGCAGTCTCCTGCCTTTTCTTCAGTGCAACCCTCCCGTGTCAGCCTATCGTCTCTGATTTTCAAAGATTTGGCTTGTTTTTTCCCTTGAAATATTTGAAAACCTGAGCATCCTAAAATGATTTATTAAAAAAGCAATTGCCATCATCCTGACTTCCACTTTTTGGGTTGCAATATGTTACCCCTCAGAACCACTATTTTTTAGATTTTCACTATAGCTTATTCTACGGCATATTTTTGAGTTTTGCGACAGTAGTGATTCCAAAAAGCCGGGCTGTACTGATTTTGCATGAGCCCCTAAGATTACATTCTCAAAACAACAGTTTCTACCGCTTCTCTTGAGGACACAGYATAAACACTCCAGCATGTTTGTGCACAGAAAGGGTTATGTTTCATACCAGGCACTTACCTGGGTGCTCCTTYTCCCTCATTTGAACACTGTGCACGTTGAGGTGCCTTAAAGGCGTTCGGCGAAGCGCTCTGAATTACCAAGCACCCACAGAAGGGCTCGGGGGCGGGAGGCCCTGTGTGGGTACCCACAGAGGGGCTGGATGGAGGGAGGCCTCCCGTGGGCACCCACAGAAGGGCTTGGGGGCGGGAGGCCTCCCGTGGGCACCCACAGAGGGGCTCGGGAGCGGGAGGCCTCCCGTGGGCACCCCCAGAAGGGCTGGATGGAAGGAGGCCTCGCCTGGACACACACACACGAGCAGCAAGAGGCCGCAGAGCCGGCACGGAAGAGAACCACTCGCCCAGAAGGAACCGAACGCGGCTCTGGAGGACCTTGTGTCCCAGCTGGYTGTTTACAGGTGCGCTAAGCAAGCGGTCTGGCCCAGGGGACACGGCGGCCTGACACAGGGTGTACAAACAGGCAGTCTTCTGGCTGGCTGCAACAGACTCCTCCGAACCTTGGCTTCAGGCTGCCCAAAGTTTCTGCGCTCCTTGTATATGTTACCCCAACCAGAAGCCACTCATTTTGGATCTTACCAGGAGACTTCAGCACTTGGCTTGCATGCGCTGGAGCCCCTGCACCGATCCAGAGCATCCTGACAGTGAAGGGATTTGCCCATGTCCCGCACACACAGTGCTGCAGCCCTCTCGCCACCATTCCCGCACCAGCCCCAGCCCCAGGCCTGCTCCAACCGCGGCAGCCAAGTGTGGGAGATTGACAGGGAAGTCCTAACCTCCTGCCACTGCTGCCCRTCCCCATGAGGCCACCACTAACACGCCAATTGAACGCTGTGAGGAAGTTAAACACAACCGAGCACTTAATTTATTTTCTTCTTAATGCATCTGCAATTTTCTCTAATCAGGTTACGAAAGGGAAACCAGGAAAACAGCAAGGAGCATTTCATCGGTCAGATGTAAACATCTAAATTTGGACATTTCTGTGCTACAAGACTTAGCGTCATACTCTAAACAGAACATACTTTGCTGCACTAATCAAATGAGCTAGAGACTCTCAACCCTCCAAGTTTTTTCCTGGGAAGAGTTTTTAAATTCATTTCCTAATTCTCTCTTGCATATTACTGCAGCTGAACTCATCCAGTCTCTTGCTGGATGTATGTTTTTAGCTTGATGGTCTAACCGCAAATACATTAAAGAAAATTAGAAAATTATATTCTATACCTTAGGTATATTCGACTTTGACACATTGCAAGGAATTAAAACATGGCAGCTTTGGTTTATATTGACCCTTCTTCACAGTACGGGAACTTTGTACAAAGTACATTTAACTGACATTCATAGAGCTCAAAACTTACCACAAATCAACTTTACTCTTTGTTATTTCCTTCTAATTAGACTTCCTCAATTGAGCAGTCTCATGAAAAAGAAGATACTATTTATGTGATGTTTTAGAAAAGACTGTTTGGCATTTGCTAGCCTGCAGTTTTCTCAAGTCCTTGAAATCTCTGTAAACATTTTTCTCCTTTCAAAGATATATCCTCTATAGGAGGATAATTTTTTGACTATAGGTCAAAAAATAGACTGGATTCAAAACGAGCAGTGAAGTGGCTTCTTTTCTAAAAACAATTCACAGGAGTTTTACATTCAACTGAAAACAAAGCAACAGCCCATGGAGTTCACCTAATCCCTAAAAAAGCACTTGCTCTTTTTAAACAGCACTTACCTTGAAGTCTTGTAAAGTGCCTACAAGAAGTGCAGCAGCAAATACACACGCGACCTCATTGCTGCCCCTTCCAACCTTCCCATTCTGGCTGCTGCTGCTGATCCTGCCGGCAGCGAGGCAGGCAGGGCTGGTGTTCCCAAGTGCTATTCCTGGCAAACCRCTTAAAAATAACCCGAGCTGTCATACTCTCAATGCCTTGCAAATACTGGACAGAGAGTCGTGTGTCAGGGCCACATCCTCCTCCATGTTTCTGCATCTGAGGGTAGCAGAAGGAAACTGCGAGTGCCATTTCCCCAGTTATCAGGGTGCAACGTCCCCTTTGCACAAGCAGCAGTGCAGCTCAGCCTAAAAATGGTAACCTGAGTCTGCTTGAAGTGGCTTCCACCTAAGAACTAGCAGTAAGATCTGAAGGAGATACTAATATTAAGATATTTCTGATACACAGCTACAAAGTACAAATTGAACTTTTGTTAGAAAAAAAGGTAAGTGAAATTACTTGTAAAATTCAGAAATCTATGACACAGCCGCTGATAGAGCTGTGAACTTTTTGAGAGATGTAAAGCACATAGGAGAAGATGCCTGCCATTCCAGTCGCTCTGGATCCATTTCAGTCCCTCACCATAGCCTCTCTAAACTCTCTGATTTCAAAGATTTCCCCTTTTTTTACTATTTATATGACATTGCTGTATGAAATTTCATTACGAAAGCATTGTAAATGTGGTAGATATAAGCCATTCAGACACCTTATATTGTGGTATAGAACAAAACTCTATTTCCATTTATGGCAAATTATTTTATTTTGTAGAAGAAGTACTTTCAAATAATAAAAAAAATGACACAATCATACAGAACTGTGACAAAAACAAGAGAGATGAATACTGAATACGATAACTCATTACCACATCAAAGCCGAGCTCATTACAGCAGTCAGAATCACGGACTCACAGAAGACACCGACGGCACCGGACAGCGGTCACGGTTTAAAAACACCAGCAGATACCTTAGCAAACAGACCATGAGACGCTGTCCYGTCACTATCCCATCCCAGAATAATTTAAGCTGGAAGGGAGGTCCCCGTCCAACCCTGCTCAGAACTGACCTAAGGAGACCAGGCTGTTCAAGGCTGTCTCCAATAACCTCTCTAAAACCTCTGAGGATGGAGATGCCACAACCTCTCTGGGGAACCTCTGCCAGCGTTTCACCATGTTCAGGGTAAAAACATTGCTGTCCGTCCTTAAAACGAGGCATGGGGAATTCTGACTAGCTGCTCTGTTCAAGTAATGAGAGCCAAAAAGCTTCTGTCCCTAGACTTTTACCCAAACACTAACAATTGATTCCATAATTTATTTGGGTTGATCTGCATAGTTTCTGAGCATCTTTACYTCAGCCAGAGGAACCCAATATATACCTACCAACACTCACTTGTAAGCCCAGAGATGTCAGGCTGGTTAGCATGATGAAACATTAAATAGGCTTTAACTTCACATACATTACTATGCCACCAAATTACTCAATGCTTATAATGACCAGAGGCCAACCATTAAACAGAGAGTACTACTTTAAAAATAAATGTTGTTAATCATACTGGCTGATTAATGATTTAGATTTTTTTTCTGTTTATTGCCTCAGCTTTGATAAAGTGATTTATCACTTTTAAGTAATTCAGTTTCACCTTTGGGTTTTCATGATCTTCAACCTCAGAACACAGTACAAGCTCCTGAAACTCACAAGCAACACTTACTCATTTACAAATATTTGAACATATTCTATTGGTCAGAGGTTTTGCTAAGTCTGCTTAGGGTTTTGTTCTTATTACTGTTTGGATTTCCTGATACAAAAATCTGGAGCCAATTTGACTTTGTAACATCCCTTTAATCAAGAGACGGCATGATGTTCCTTTCTGGGTGTTTCCAGAAATTTTCAAAATAGGTCTTGTTGTGTTGGGCACCTCTCTTTGTAGGTAATGTATAATTAGAAAATATGAGAAACTCTATTATAGTAGCTTAGTAAGAAGTATTTTTACATATCTGCAGGATGCAAGGACACAAAACTGGCATTCTCGGGAATTCAGGGTGACAGCCCTTCACTACAATGAAAGGTCCCACGCAGAATTATTTCTTACTGGATTTTAGCTGGTCCAACTACAGATCACGGGAGTCTTCCTGAACTATACACCTCGTTTCTGGAAAGTGCCACTGCTCAACAAAGCTCACATGTGGCAACCTCAAAGCATTTGCCTTAAGATGAGCATGTGTTTAAGCACCCTCACTTACAGCAGCTGCTTTCTGAAATTAGCACGTATGCCTTTTCTGGAATTAGGCCAGAGTTTTAGAAACCGCAGAAATGCTGCATTCCATCAGCAGTTCTTCCACACAGCCAGCCCAAAAATGTTCTTTTAGATCCCCCTTCATTAAACAACAAAACAAAGACCTGCCACCCTTTTCCTTCCTCCGTTTAAATCGAGACTCTAGTTAAGGATATAAAGATATTTTAGACACAACTGAAATGAAAACAATCTATTAGTGCACAGTAAGAACATGCAAATGAGTTCTGCAATGTTAAACATCACTTCTAATCAGTGTTAAGCACATTGCAGGTGATAATATTTTGCTATAACACAGACAGTGCTAAAGGATACAAYGTACATAATAAGCTACAGATAATAAAGCTGAAAAAAGTGACAATTTTAGAACATAGTATTTTCATTTCAGGTATCAGAAACAAAACCAGCTCAATGGTTCCATTCTACTGCATGACAAATACTGAAGAACAAAATTTCAGTCTTAAAATACATCTTAAAGTAGGTATTTTCCTTCAAGGAAAAAAGGCACTATAAATAAATTACACTACAGTGAATTTGCCTGAACTCACTTTGTTTCTGTCTTCCAGCCTTTAAGTCAAATAAAACAGCATAAAAACTGTACACGCTCTTAACAGGATAGTCGATCTTTTATAAAATAAGTTGTCTTCAGAGATGTCAATTTCACAACAAGGAAAAACCAAGCCTTGTTGCAGTCACTATTATAAAATATATATATGTATATATATATTTATATATATGTTTTTGTTTACTTTTACTTTTTTTACTTTTTTATTTTTTACAAAACGTGTATATTAGCTTTTGCACATTTTTTTTAAAGAAACTTGGCTAATCTAATAACTTCATTAAAATAAAAGCGATAAATACTTCATGTTTACAATGCAACACATCATACATCATCAGCTGGCAGAGGAGGTATGTTAATCCTTGGTCTTGTGAAAAAAGCTATCTTCTCTCTGTGATCGAAAAAAACAGATAGAAAGGATGTCAAATATACACAGATATTTCTCCCCAAAAACCTATTTCTACTTCTCTGGTTAGTGCTTACTATTTTTTACCTATATAGTTGGCTTGAGAGTAAGAAACTTTCAAAAACTTACAGCTCTCTATGCTTTTAGAAAGAAAGCCTTGAAAAACAACACAGTTGCTACTTTTGAAAATTTAAAGTGCAGCTTCATACAACTTGTCATCAGTGATACTGAGTTTAAACAGGTGTCACAGTCCAAGTCCTGTATAAATCCCCTCTGTAATGAAAAGTTTACCCTTTCAAATTTTGCAGTTGTGTCCGCAAAGAAATAAAGAGGACATTCAGATTTATCTTTTCACTTCTTTATTGGGTAAACAGTGCATGCAGTAAAATAAGTGCTAAAAAATGGATACATGTAAACAGGGTAAGAATTTAATCAATGAAAACTGCTTTTGCTCCACTTGCTACATCTAACATTTTATTCATTTTGTCATGTAATTTGTATCTGTGTAGACAAAGCATGAAACAACTTCTTAATACCAGAAATATAAGCTGTAAGAAAAAAAACCTACTGCTCTAACTTTGTCTCTCTATGAGGAAAACCTTTCCTGTTCCAACATAATTTAAGAAAAAGTATATTAAAGGACAGACAGCTTTCCATCYCTCTCTCATCAGTATTCCCATTAAAAAAAAATCTAAAATTCAGAACACTGGGTTAGGTATTCTAATGTAATGTTTGGCTGAACGTTCTCTGAGGCACTTACTCTATTAGTAACAGTTGCTTACTTCTTATGTTTTTATTACTAAAAAAGTATCGTGTAGCTAAAGTAATGAAAACCTTCCTCTGAAGTACAAAATGATGTTACAGATGCCACTTGTAGACAAACTCTCAAATAGAATAAAACTAAGAGGGAACACAGAGCAGATGGACACAGATGAAATAGGAAATAAAGCAAAGAGAAAAGGTTTATTTAGAAAACAGCTAGAAAATCAAGAAATATTTTATAGGGAGAGTGTAATTGCATTGAATTGTAATTGAGTGCATTTGAAGACTTTCTCTTTTCTATTTGATGTGAATTTCATCATACTAACATTGCAATTTTATTTTGGTTTTGGCTCTCTGCACTATAAATAGCCTAAAGGAAAGCCATATGTCCAAACCAACACATCCAGCTAAAGACTACCGGCCATACACAAGACAAGGAATTTGAATCAGATGCCTCAGAGAGATTTAATGAACTGTATGTATGCACTATTTCAGTACATACTACCRCTTACCTGAAAGTCTGCACCTGAATAGGCTCCTTCTGGTTTTGCCCACGCAGCTGATATATTTCTTTTGATGCTTTCTTGAGCATCTTTTCAGCTGCTTGCTCTTGGTGATGTTCAAACTTGGTTTGTCGTGTCTGAAAACRAGTGATGAGAACATATGAATAGAAGTGATCACGTGAATGAATGAAACAGCAGAACGCCTAGGTTAAGCTAGTATTTTTTTCACTCCTCACAGTAAARCCACCCAAGCACACTGTCCAAAAGAGTCAATCTGAGAACCGCTCCTGACACGGCAAATACACCCGCTCTCCGGAACGGTCTTCCTTTAAACACCCAGTTTAGTAATCAAGCAATCGTGTTCTCACTGTGGTAACTCCAAGAATATGGAAGCAACGTTAATGGTTTGAAAGACTCTCTATGAAAGAAGCTCTGCAAGCAGAGCTCCTTCACRGGTGCTTCCACAAGCCAGCAGCTTCTGGGTAAGAGCTTTCGTCGCAGGCTGAGAGCCCATTTCAYGGGGCCATACCTGCCTCTCCGCTTCCTTCAACAAGCTGCGGAAGCGCTCATCCCGAAGGACCCAGTGGGGAAGGTCGGTCTGCCCTCGGAGCTGGGCATCCTCRAGCCGCTGCCGCAGCTCCCTCAAGGTGCAGATCTCCTCGTTCAGCTGTCGCTGCCTCGTTCGGGACGCCTGGAGATCCAGCTCCAGGTCTAAGGACGTCCTTGCCATCAGCTCGGCCAAAGATGATCTGCAGGACTGCTGCGTTATTAGGATGCAAAAAAAATGCACAGCACATTACTCGCAGCCTGGTTTTAGCTACAAAGCACCTACATTTTATTTATTTACTTCACACATGGCAGTTTGTCTTGACACAAAAGTTTTAGACAGATTATTCTTATCCCACAGTGAAAAGTTAACTAGGTTTAGGGTTTTTCAGTAAAGCTTTTTCAATCAATTCTTTCTACTACYTCCTTTAACTCCTTTCAGCTTACAAATTTATAATGAACATAAGTTTGCAGACCAAACTTTTCTGTTATATTGACAATGATGTAATTTGAAAACCTGAAAAAAATATTATAGGAAATACTCATAACTCTATCATGATACCGGAGAACAGAGTATTCAGCAATGGATATCTATTACATACGTTTTAATCAGCACTGGATTTAAGATACTTTCTGAATCTAAATGGGGCCCATGAATTTCTGCTTGCCTACACCAGCAAGAAATTAACCTCTACCTTTCTGGCTCAGCTATACTGACCACTGATTTACAGGGAGCAAAATGGAGGTGTGGGGAAAGGAGAACCTAATTTACTAATTTTTAAACACTTGAGCTTTAAATACTAGCTTTTGCTAGGCTGCCTGGGAGGGCATTAAGGTTTCTTGTCATGTTCCCAAAAACTTCTGTGGGTCTGTGCCCTGCATTATAAACTAGCTTTAAGAATCAACACAGTTAATATCTAAATCAATACAAATTCAGTTCCTGTTAAGATAATTATCACATCAGCCGCACCTTTTCTTTTCCTCAGCAACTGTTCACAACCATATTTCATTTCTCCGTCTAGCTAAAAGACGGAAACAAAAAGAAATCCTCACTCCCCAACTAACAACAACACAGAAGCCTCATACACTTCCAGAACTCATATATACCTACAGACACCTAAAGCTCAGGTATAGAAGCACTACTGTTCTAATAATAATAACAAATTTAAAAAGTTTCCCATGTGTTACCTGCTTATACCGTAAGGTTCGCCTTTCCAGCGTATTCCGGACAAAAGGTGACTTCCTTGGCAGGGTTGAGCTGTCACTGTCACTGCGATACAGCTGATCAGAGAGATATTGAAAACAGGAGATGCTTACAAAGTCATCGGCACTCAGACAATTGGATTGTTTGAAGTTTGCTTAAAATAATATGTACAATATGTATTAAACAGCACAATGGAAATGGTTGTACTGTTTCATATCCCTTCCCTTTTATGCAGTCTTGTTCTGGTACCTAAGGGTTTTATATTCCCACATGTCATCAATGGGTATGGAATCAGGAAAACACACTGAAGAATTTAAATTGGGCCACAGATCCACACTGTGCAACATAATTTACAAGGAAAAGAACATCGCATTCTTGGTTTGGGAAAAAAATACATTAAAGTTTAGTTTTAGGTGTCTTAAGGAAAAAAATGTTAAAATCATTATCACWTTTTCAAACTCAAGGTGTCAAAAGCATGTGCAAATTGTACAGTTACTACTATTAACAGTCTACTAATGTAACCAAATGAATACTGATGTATTGACTCTGCAATAATGTTTCTAAGCCTTTTGCAGGCRAACACAGCAACAACTCAGCACAAGCATGAAATCTGTTTCACTAATTCTCATTTTCTTGCCTCAGGGCAGTGCTCAGGAACGCTGAAAAAGACCCAGCTGTAAGGGGCATCCTATRACTGTGACATTCAACAACAACAAATCCTAAAAAGATTTCTCTAGTAACGGTAAGATTAGGCAGATAATCCCCTTTTCCTACCTTCCATGTACCTGAAATCTAAACATGCCTCGTTAGACATAAGAGATAACTGCACCTCTGTAAGACGACTCATTCTAGCCTGCTGTCATGGGTTGTCCAGGAAGGAGACGAATGTCTCATTTATGGTAGGTTCTTAAATTTTAATTTAAATAAATTCAGAATTAAGATCTTAAAAATAAAGAAACAGACCTTCTTTCCATTGTAATGTTTAAATTCAATGAAAGATTACTCACAAGTATTAAAAAGCATCATCTTAAGAATATAATACTTAATACATACTTAAGAATACAATCCAACTTTTAAGAAAAAAATAACAAAAATATACATGGCACTTGAATTTCCTTTTCTAAGTATGTGACCGCCCCCTTTTCCCTCCTCCTTCCCCTTTTCCTTCAGCCCTACTCACTCTGCAAACGTATTGACTTCGTGCTCCGGGCGAGAAGGTCTGGGACCGAACAATGGTGCTGCTGCGGACAAAGGCAGAGCCTCGCGGCCTGCGGCTTCCTCTCTCCTTTGGAAGGAGAGCAACTTCTTCAGGAAACAGATCCTCAGTGTTGGTTTCCTTATCCACCTGGAATGTCAGCATAGGAAAGGAAACAATCACATTTTTTTTTTCTCTTACCAAAAACAACCAGACTTCTCAACTTTTCAGCCATATTAAAAGTAAGCAATCCAATCTATAATGAGCGCACAGCACTCTAAAATGAGAATTATGAGTTCTAAAATGAAAGTTTTAAAACACTGGAGGAGCAATAGAGGTAAAACACTGAGCTTTTGCCTTCACAGTTCTTTGGGGAGTTCTTAGGTTCTGGAGCACTTCAAGCACTTGAGCGTGACTTCAAGTCAACGTGACTCTGCATTTGTTACAAATCCACATTTACAGCCTGGATTCAGACAGCACAGTGAAAATAGCTCCTSTTTTAGTGTACAGGACTAATTCTGTTCCAGAAAGTTTCTAGCAAGCAAAACAAAGCCAACATCCCTGAAGAGGCCATAATGTCTGAGAGGCCCCAAGGCACTCTGCTGCCGCCCAGGCAGGGTTCAGAGAGAGCTGCTAAGGCCAGGGCCACTTCCCACGGGCACGGGGGCAGCCTCAGCGCCGCAGGGTCTTCTCCCAGTACCTTCAGTGGTGGGGGCTGCATTTTTCCAGCACTGTACTGGCCCGCTTGGGTTGCAAACGTAGGTGCAGGTAAGGGATCCCCGCAGAACGGCTCGGCGTAGGGAGGACTAGTCTGGGTGCAGTTACTGCACCCGCTGTCAACAGACTCCGCTTGCCAGCTCCTAAAGTCAGGACATTACAAGGGCTTTTTAGGCACGAAGAAAGCATGAAATTAAGCATAGTATATTTCAAAATTCATGACAGTTTATTATTTTAGAATATCATTTCTGCAGCGGAAACACATGCTTTGCAAAGGAAACACATAACCCCCTTGAATTTCTAGATACAGAAATTTCTAATATATAGATATATATTTTTAGATATTTCTTGATATATACAAAAGCAAACACCTTTCATGTCAAAAATCGTCTTTTATAATTTCCTCTAAAAAGCCTTTCACATCTGCCCATATGACTACAAAATCTTCTAGTACTTTGCTGTTGTAAAGCCATTTCAGCAGATTCCTGGCAAATTTTGTTTCCTACAGAATTGCTTTCCCATTCCCTCAAACTACAAGTCCTACAAATTCAGCTAGCTATTCAAATGAGAGTCTTTTTTGGTTTACATATCATCACATGATAGAAGTATTTTACACCCTCAATGCTAACAGCGAGCAGATCTCAGAATAAGAATCTACTTCTACTGCAGTATTTCTGACCACAACCACAGTATAAACACCACTCAGCTATTTGAGGGCCTATTTAAACTACTGGTTTTACCTTTCTGAGATGGCTTCTGCTTGATCTTCCTTTCTTTCCATCTCCAGGATTTCCTCCTCTGTGTACTCCAGTTTCACTCTCTCTTCTGCCAGCTCCCTCTCTACTGCTTCCAGCTGGGCAGTGGTTCTAGCTAACAGGGCTGTCACTGCATCCTGGAACGTAAACTGGATTTTAAAAGAAAACTCTTTGAACAAACACTTCTTTAATCATGTTATTCAGAGAAATGAAAAAAAACATCATCTGTCCTGAAAATGAGTGGACAAAAAGTAGATATTGTTCGAAGACTGGGACTTGAAACAGAGAAAGGGCAGAAAATTAATGCTTTACGGCTATACTGAATAGCAGTTCACAAGATAAACTAAAAAAGTTGAGCTCAGTCAGAACCCTTTCTGGGATGGGAGCTTTATCACACTGTGAAGCACCATCCAGAAATTCGGGCCAGAAGGCAGCTTTAGATGTCAGCTAGTCCAACCTCCTGCTTAAGGTAGGAGCAGCTTCACAGCTGCACCACAGCCTGGCAAGTAGTCACAATCTCCAAGGATGGCAATTCCACAGCCTTTCCTGCCAAGCTCTTCCAGTGGCACAACCTTTTGATGAGTATCAGCTASTGAAAGTGCAGCTTGTGCATACAAATACACACCAATGTATTTGAAGCACCTGTCCAGATGTGATCTAGCTTTTAATTGTTCTTGAAGTAACCCATCCCTACCACGAAAGCTAAATTAAGACATCATCACCTTCTGTGTGCTTGGCAAGCAAAACAGCACCTGAGTGATAAGATCACAAGTAACTGCCCAGAAGGTCAGGTAATGTAAATAAGCCACTTTTTTCTTTTTCTCTCCCCCCAGCCATACTGTTTTAGCTGTAGTTACATTTCCAGAAGAGCGAGGAGTATTTTCTTCAGTCTGATTTTTGTTCTTGGCTCTCTGCGGGTCGGAGCCAGTGAAGATCTGAACAGAATACCAGTGAAGCTGCATCTCGCCAGAACTCTCYGAATCAGTCAGACTGATCTGAGCAATGCCCTGCAGACAATAAACCATACGGACCACGGGTAAGACAAGCACACACAACACGAGAGGCGCCCTCCCACATACAGAGTGATTGCCTTAAAACGTAAAAATAACTTCATCTAATCCTAACTGGCTCTTAAAGAAAGCCCCTCTTAAAAGYAGACAGATTAGTTTCAATTGCATTATGAAGTGCAAGAAATACAGATTTTTCTTGCTTCTTGTTAGCTCTAAAAAAAATCAGAATATAGCTTTTCTTTAAACTGAAATATAAAATCATTAGGACTGATGTTGGTGTGATAGTTCTAGCTCTTAACTCTTAATATCTTACAACAAACATACAAAGAAAAAAAAACCCTCTCTTTTCAAAGTTGCTTACACTGGCATTACTAAACAATAGCATCACTTCCAGTTAATCTACCTACACTTGACAGAATTATATCTGAGATACTGAGATATTCTTCATTCCTCTGATTCTCACAAGCATCTTACCAAGGAAAAAAAAAATGGTCATCTAAAACTATGTTTTTCTGCTCTGGTCATGGTTAATCAAATGGACCATAATCCTACTTTTCCACTTTTTAAGCCATCCTTACACATCCYATATCTAGGTGATAAAGCTTTAATGGAAGCTTCCCACTACAAGTACTCCCAAGTGTAAAGTAAGTTTACTTGTCCAACAGTGCTCACTTAAGCAATATCTAAGCAGTGCAGGCATAAATGAAAACCAGCTGTGAACAAATCCRGGCCATTTTTTAATCAGATTACTGGCTGAAGGTATGATTGTGTATTATTTAGCATTTAACTACCACTTTTGCCTTTATCTGGCTATGGCTGCAGGCTGTTCATTTCCATGCTAATGGATCACCTACCTAAAATGCATATGTAAAAACTGGTTTTGATCTCACAAAACAAATAGCTATATTCAATGATTCAATTGTAAAGGCAGTACAAAGTATTCTTACTGAGCAAGCTGACAATGATCATCAAATTTAAATACAGATGCCAGCGCATCTACCTTTAAAATATGATGATATTTGCTCTCTTTTTGAGTGGTACTGTTGACTTATCCTAAAATATGCTATAACTACTGCAGAAAAAGATAGTTCTGATAAAACAGCACTGAAACTATGAAAGCCAGAAAAGAATCCTACCAACATGATATGAAGACCTATCATTTTTTGCTAATTTAGAAATAGCAGCTTAAATAAAACAACCCTAAACTTACTATTTCTGTCGCTATAAAAATGGTTTACACTGAATAGCTATTTAGCTTCCCAGAAGAACAGACTGTCACAGCAGAAAGCATTTTATACCACACACTCAGGCCACTCTTGAGATGCTTTGTCTTTAGTTAAGGTGCAGTATTAAAAGTGACAACATGTCCCCCTGCAGACAAGCACTCGGGTCTGCTTCTGTTAATACTGAAACATTGGTAATGTAAGATGCTATCTAGTTTTATAGGCAGGCTAGCAAACATGCACTCGTGCCTGTATTTGCTACAATAAACACCTGGTATACATCGTATAGGATGACACTGAGCTGCCCGTACTCATTAACCATCTCAACAGACCTAATACAATTCCATTAAACCATTCAAATGGCCTCACTGAGATACCAGCCTRCTGACTTCAAAACAGCCAGGACATCAGCCCCTGACGAATTTATTTAAGCATATTTACACTAGAAAATAACTTCAATAAGTTGAAGCATTTTACAAGTGTTTACATTTATTTTAACACATTTACATTAATCATCTTAAAGTAAAGATGGGTTCATTAACGGCCTGCTTGGATCATGACTACAGTGCAACAAGTGTCTGTAAAAACGGAGTTTTTCAGAGAAGAGCTTCATTTTTGCAGACTGCTTTTACTCTACTATGCAGACTGAAATATCTGCAGGTGTTAACCTTCCCCTAAGCAGATAATTGTAAGAAATATATTAAATAAATTAACTCCTTAGATACTAACTCCCACAGCAAACAATGCAAATAGCAATTTTAAATATGACTCTGCAATGTATCAATGACATCAAATAATACTCTTTAAAATGCTCCAATTGTCTGCTTCTGCTAATTTTGCTAATTACTCTGATCTCTCTGATCCACCTTAATTGAATATCTTAATATATAATTCTGGCAGCACTTCTTATAGAAAAAAAAATGTTTTCAGTTCTTCTTTCTAATCTTAAAGATTATTTTTCAAGTGACTTTAGCTCCCCATTCCCCAGAGCTTTTAGGGAAAAGGGACCACTTACCAATAGCTCCTCTTGCTGCTGAGGGTCAACTGAGCAGATATACAGCTGCAGCGATTTTAACTTGAGAGCACTTGAATGCGCCGGGATTCGGAAGACTTCATTGAATAGCAGCGGCGACTGGAATTCCAGAGCCCGGGAGCAGTAGGTGGTCGGCGTGCCCGCCTCCAGCGGCGGCAAATACACCCGCACGTGGCTGGGAGGATCAAAGGGACAAACACCACAGCTGAGATGAGCAGAGCTGCCCTGCACCGCTGCCCAGCCAAGCTAGGCAGATCAGAAAGGTAACTGYTCCGTTGAGGATGGGCTTGCAGAGCTCTGCTACAGGGATTTCAGTATTCTTCACACGGAAGGGCTGCGCAGCTCATTTGGGAACCCTGSCTTTTTCTAATGCTTCTTATGAGCCTTGGCAATACAAGTTAGACATGGAAATCAGTTGCCTAAGCAGAGGCACCAAGTGCCACTTGGGATGCGCTGAGGCATCCACAGGGGGCTGGCAAACAGGACACAGGACCTACGGGAGCGCTCCAGCCCTCCGGAGCCGCGGCAGCTGGAGGCCAAGGCCGTGCTGGGACATTTCAGATCGAGACAGATGCCTATGTTTGGGCATCTGAGTTGCTGCATTGGTGTCACTGCTCCACTCTTCCTTGCAGCCACTCAGCATGCATCTTGTTTTTCTTTTTCCCTGAGAAATTTAGCACAACAGGAAAGCAAAAGCAGCCTACAGGCCATGCATTCACCTGCTGTCTGAGAACGCTAAGTTTACAAATCTGCTGTTGCCACATTTGAGCCTCCATGCCCCTCCACAAAAGTAAACAAATCCATAAGCACTTTCCACATGGCAGAAGGCAGCAGAGCTACGTGAAGCTAAACYCTTCCAGGCCCTCAGTGCCCTGCCTGCTTGTGCAGCCCCTGCATTACCTTATTTCTTGTCGTAACTTCCCTTGTGGCAATGAGCAAGGGACACACAACTGTGCAGCAAACCCAACTGGGAAACGTGTCAGGGTTAAAAAGCTAACTTGGCCTCAACCAACTAAACAATGCTGCTCAGAGGCTCACTCTAGCCAACTAGACAACCGCGTGAAGTCTCGTGCTCCCATCGGAGGGAGGATGGTGCTGACAAACAGAGAAATGGCGAGAGGACAAGCAGAAGGGCTGGCCAGGGCAGAGCACCAGGCACCTGCACTGGTCTAGGAGCTAATCCTGTAAAAAGAGAGCGAGCACCTGCTGCAGGCAACCTCCCCTCGCACCCCTCTAGCCCTAATTCAGTGAACACAGAGCTGCAGGAGCTCTACTGCCCAAAAACTTCATGGTTTGGGGAGTAAAGCCTCTAGGGCTCTGGCCTACCCCAAAAGTTTCAACAGGAGGTTTATGGGGTTAGTAAGGCCAGGGATTCTGACCAAAGATCCTTCAGAGAGATGCATCCCAGCTGAGCTCCTCAGAAGGTTCAACACATTCTGACCTACTTGGCAACACAACAGGACTATTGCACCTCAGGTTTGTGAGGTTTTCAGATAAGTTGTCTCTACAGAGGCAAGAATCAGCATGGGGCATATTTCTTCAAAATCGGTTGAAATACTTATCACTAGATAAGACTGTCTTTTCCATTGCCATTATTTAACAGAAAAATAGTCTACATAATATAATATGTGAAATTGGAAGCAATAGTATAGACAAGGGATAAGAAAACTCCATTGATTCACAGCTAATCTTTCTATTTAAATAATTTTAGAAATATGCTTCATAGATATTCAGGGAGATCTGCAATGGACACAAAAGCCTCCCGATGACCTGTTTTTTGTTTGCCTGTTTGTTTTTCAGATAAAAGACAAAGCATCTAAGCATCTATCTTGCTGATCAATATCAAGTGGCACCTTAGAAATTGGAGAAAATTACACTGCATTATTCTGGGACATGTCAGAGATAAGCTTGAATGGAGTTGCACAGGAAATAATATATTTGGAATAACACAAATACTGCAGATTGCTTTTGACCAGAAGGCATGGGTTGATGGAAGAACAACCATGCTGCAATAACACAAGCGAGTAGAAAATATATCCATTAACTATTTAGACATCAGTTTCCAAAACAGTAACATTTTGTGTCCAGAATATCACTCCCTCCCCTAATCCTCATCAAGAAATATTGTCATCTGCTCAAGAAATGGCAAATTGCATGGAAGCAAACACATTCCTGATATTCGAGACAGTCTCATAAAACAAGTGATCATCAGGCTCTGGGTGAAATTTCAGCTTACATTTTGCAGTTTTCTTTCACGACAAGGCTCGTAAAGTTCTTCAGCTGTAAGACATGGACTAGGAGACATTCGCTTCCACTGTCATGCCTGCAAAATAAATATCCTGTGTTAGTCATCGAATATCAACACTTTGCTTAAGAGATGGCAATACAAGAGCGGAAAGATTCTGAAACTGTAAAAGTAGCTTTTGCAGCCAAACAAATCTCTCAGACAAATGAGTTTAAATCAAATGCAACTACAGATACTGTACTCCACTAACAGAGCCAATTACCTTACATGAAGCAAGGAAGTTAACAGCACAAAAAATAGTAAAAACTATTTTAGTTAAAAAAAAAAAAAGGAATATTGTTCCCTGTTTGTAAATCAACCAACAGTTGATTTCAGTTTCTTGAGTGTGAAAAGGTTTTATAAAACCTTTGTGTGAAAAGGTTTTATAAAACACATCCCTTCTTTCAATCAGATACTCTGTGTGTGTGGACATATGTGTATGGGTCTATCTGTGTGTACAGATGTGTGTGTGTGCATGCCCGTGTAATCTGTTCATTTACACTTKCTTTTTAGCTGCTTAATGACAATAATAAGAAGAAATCATTCCTTTCTCATCAACCAGCATGAGTTTTGAAATGGAACTAGCAAACTTGGCTGAGGTTTGGAGACATCCAGCTTTGGGCAGCTGGAAGCTGCTCCTGGCGTTTTTCCCGCCCCGGGAGAGCTGTGGGAGGCGCTACCCTCACCTGCGCTGCTCCCACTGCTCCCAGAGCAGGCCCTAAGCACAGGCTTCCCCAGATGGATTTGGGAGGCCCCCATCTGCCTCCTTCCCCTGAGGCCTTCCCAAAACAATGCTACTTCTTGTGGCATAAGRAGGCAGATACCCCACAGCGAGAGGCAGCCCTATACCCACACTCAGAGAAACGCCCTGCACAAGCGAAGAGCTCCCAAAAGCAGCAGCACGAGCCCTTCTGCCAGGCAGCATCAGGAGGGCCCTGAGCAACGCTCGAGGCTTCAGCCCCAGCAGGCAGCAGTATGGGACCTGCCTCATCTCCAARGCCTTAAAGCCAGGCTTTCAGTTCAGAACTCCTTAAAACTGTCCACTGTGGTCAGGTTTATTAAACAGTTAAGAACTGTAGGCATCCTAGAGAGCAATGCCCGCTGTGATGGCTACGGAGCAGGAASAGCAACATTACTCACAGAAATCCAACATGGATTTGCGGTTCTTCATTACTGGCCACATCACCATAGACAGGCTCTTCCATGTCTTCATTCCTGCAAGAATATAAAAGCATTGTAAACTACATGCTGACCTAAGCTGTTAAGACATAATGAAATGAGCATTTATTTTGCCAATATTATATTGCTATACATATTTTATATATATGTATAGCCAATATAAGCAACTATGTGGCAATATTATCAGGAGGGGCTGAGATATCTAGTTACACAGAACAGAAAAACTAATTCACAAATTAAAAAAGAAAAAGTTTTCAGAGTAAAACTTTTGGAGATATTTCATTTTTGTTTTCCATTTTTCCACAGCATCTTCAAGTCTTTATCTTTGCTCTCCATTGTGTTAAAACAATTAAATAAAATTATGCTTCTTTATCCCCCCCTCAATCACTTGGTTGAGCCACACATTTTTAGATTTTCAGTAGTTGACATCTTCCTTTCTGTTATACCTTTATTTTTTGCTGCTCAGAACTCTTAAGTCATACTCTGTGGAATCGTATTTTTATTATTGGCATTGAAATAAAATTTATGATTTATGCCTATTAAGATGGGAAACTATCTTTCAAGGGGAAAATATTGGGCGTTGAAACTGTAGAGATAATGAAGTGAAGTGCACTTGGCACTCGTGAAGATGCCAGCCAACCTGCACGTTCACTTCTTGTTCTTCTGCAACATGCAACCCAATATTCTCCCGTTAGTAAAGCAGCAATTTTTAAAAAAATGTATTCAGAAATTTACAGCGAATTCTTTCAGACTGCGTGGCAGAACAGGAATATTTCCAGCTTACTGTGTATTTATACACCTGACCTTTTGCTTAAAGCTTCAAACACGCCACTGTCACTAGCCAGTGAATGATCTGAGAGACATGCTGAAACTCGCCTGGCTCTCCTCTCCGATCTCCGGCCGCTGTCTCCTCGCAGAGTTACAGCTGCCGGGGAGGAAAGGGGAAGACAACATCAGCTCGAGGGCTACGGGATATCTAAGAAATGCATCATTTACCCAAACTACCCCCAAGACAGTGGACACAGGCACAGTTCATTCCTTTTAATGTAACTGCAAGGAAAAAAAAAAATCCTAGGAAACAGACCTGGGGGTTTTCTATAGGAGAATTAAGGAAGGAAATTTGTGGGTAATATCTCTAGAACAAGACTTAAGTATAAATCCATTTCATTGTTATTACAGAGCTTTTGTGGTGGAACAATCTCTCCTGGAGGAATACTTACATTAACTCAGCATACATACACACGATGTCCTGAACTTTAAGATTTTACCTACTGAATATACAATAGATTGGAAATAAACACAGAGACTAATTCTTTTAAGAAGCTATCAGATAACACAATCCAAGATTTTGTTTTGTTCTTGTTTGTTTTTAAATATGAAATCTGAAAGCATACTGTTTATTAAACCATAGCAAAACAGAAGTTTCCATTTAGAGTCTGAGGCACGTTATGGAAAAGCAGCAGTTTTCTGGTTCCAGCTTCCCAGGAATGACTTCAGAAAATGACTGGGGGCAGCTAGAAGGAAGAAAGGCAAAAGTTTCTCTTCAGATCTTTCCAGAGTCATCARCACCAGCAGCAGAAATGACCCAACTACCACTTGCATATGGTCAGTGTATCAATGAAAAGGCCATTATACCTTGAATTTTGCACCAGCAAGTACATACTGCAGGTAAAAATCCTTCTAGCTACATGCACAAATAATAATACTTCAGAATTGCAGAACTGCATATGCAGAATTGATGTATGCAGAATTGCGTATGTCAATGAAACTCTGTAATCTGAAATTCTGTTTCTTTTGCACCCTAGATGGCCCTATTTAGCTGACAATTAAGCACAGTTTCTTCACCAGTTTATATCTTTCATTTAAGCCTGAATTACAGTTCTCAAAGCAGAAAAGCAGCATCAGGGGAGGCCTCTATGAAATTTGGGGKAAAGAATATAAAACATTTCCCTTCTACCCATGCTTAGAAAATGCGAACGGATGGCAGGAGGCATTTCAAGCTGGAGCCTCGGGAACATTCGTCACGCGAGAGACAAGGTCTGCCTGACGTCTGCAGCCTCCTACCACCGAGCCACAGTGAACCACCCATGAACTCAAAGCCAATGACACTTCATTAACCTCCATGGCACAGTGTCTKAAAGGTAGCAAATCCCAAGCACTGCTACTTACTCAACAAATGGACTTCAGGACACGTGCAGGACACGGCACCACGGAGCCCCTCGCTCCCCCCGGCACGTTCCCCGGAGCAGGTCACTAACAGCACCAAATCACAACCAACGGGCAAAAGTCACAGGGTCTACGTGGGAGCTAAGATTCCAGGAAAACTGCAGACAGGAGCCAGTTCGGCAGCCTTTTGTAATAACAAGCAGATCTATGGAGCTCTCCTCCAAATTCAATGAAAAATTAGGCCCTCTTCAGCTATCTAGGGAATTTATCTGCGGACTAGGCACATCCCAATCAGCATTTCAGACCCAAGTCAGGTGAGAGCTATATGTTCTACCTAACCCACAGAAGCAAAGACACTTTATTTTAGGCACTTTCTCCTCTGTATCTTTTGCATAAAGTGGGCTTTTTCATTTTGATTTTTTAAGAGCTTTCAATGTGGTGAGCTCACCTCCACGGGGACCATCAGCAGCGCCTATGGAGAACCAGAGCTCGTGCAGCTGAGCAATGCAGCACCCTGCACAGGCACTCCCGAGCATGCCACAGCTTCCCAGTCATTTTATGTCTCTAAGAGGAGGCTGAAATTCATGAAAATATGTATTTTTATAACAAAGAGCGTCTCTTTTTTTTCCCTCTTTTCCACAAGTTTCCCTGGGGCAGCATCTGTTTGCAGACCAGTCTCAGACCAGTGCTACCTACACTTTGTGCAGGTGAGGAGGCCACAGAGGAGGTTGCCCTTCAGAAGCTGCAGACCCCACAGGCTCTCTCCATTGAAGTTCATGTTTGCAGCAGGCATGGAAGGAAAAAGAGACCTGAAGCACCAACGTAACCAGTCACGAAAACTCAGCCTGTTACAACTCTGCTGTGGCTTCACGGAGATCTGCCTGCTGTCTGCAGGCCCTGGAAGCCTCTGGTAGCTGCTGACAGTGCCACTGAATCTGAGGGAGATGCAAACAGGAGAACATGCCCTTCACTAGAAAAAACAGCAGGCAAAAGTGCCCATCAGCAAGAATTTTGACACTGAATTTTGGATTAAGTGTAGAGCAATAACTGCCACAGGTTATAGATACACTCTATCTATGGATGAAGCTAAAGCATTGCTTGAAAACAAATGTTAATGAAATACACAACCGCCTTTCACATTATTCCTTAAATAACATAATCAGTGAAAAAAAAATCTGAATACAGGGTGCTAAAATTGGAGAAATATAAGACAGGCCTGATCAGAATAATATTCTGAGATGTTATTAGTTGAACAAGTGGATTTCACAGATATATTCAGCTTCAGTTCCAAGATTTCACTAGCTAAAAAGTACTTACATAAATCTAAATAATTAAATAGTAATCAAATAATCATGGTTCATAAGCTCTGACACTACAAATATTGCATGTAGCTCAAAATGCACTAATAAAAGTGTCCACACTCTTAAAAAGCAAATCAGAAACATACAGATCTTACCTACCATGGCGCTGTCAGGCATTATTATGATATAGAAAAGCTGGAGCTTGCAAAAAAAGCTTTTTTTTCCAGAATTTAACTGCAGCCATGAATAAGYTGTTTAGTTAACATAGCAAAAGTTTAAGTAAGGCCATCATGACCAAACAGGTAGAGCACAATATCAAACAAAAACAGATACAGCAAAATCTACTTTTTTTCACATGCAACTCAGACAGAAAACACTACACACAGAAAAACACACTGAAAATTACAGGCAAAAACAGCACAATAAGTAATTTCAGGTTCACTTACAGTGAATTTTTCTGTTGTGCCGCATGAGAAACAAGACAAAATGAAAAGTATACAGTGATAAATCATCTTTTAAGTCTATGCCAATATTTGTAAACAAGAGATTACTTTGGCATYGAAGGAAACACAGCACTTGAAATTAGGATAGACAGGAAGAAACTGCAGGTATTAAAGCCCAGTGTTTTATTAACRTGTTTCCTCCCACTCCCGGCTTTATAAACACAGGGCTTTAATCCTGCAGCCCTATTCCCTCCATTCATACAAGCTAACATCATTTACAGCATATCCCCAAAGGAAATGTAAAGCAGGAAAAATAGCCGGTTAACAACTAAACCGCACAGCAGCAGCTGCTGAAGAGCTCTTGTCMACGTGCTTGAACTCGGCTTCAGTGTAAAGTACATGGAAGTTACCTCATGCTAACCTTGCCAGCTGCCTCAATAGTCAAAAACCTACTGCCCTGATGGGAAAGCTAGCAAACTATTTGGCCACACTGACATATAGTTGTTTTCCAGCATTGCATTACGTTATYAGACCATTGGGTGGCAGCAGCAAAACACACTGCATAGAGCAAACCAACCTCCCGCCAAGCATTTGGAGGTTCCCACACTGCGATGCGTGARTGTAGATGGTACCTGCATGGTACATGGGTACATGAGYYTGGTGTTCTGTCAAATATACCTCTAGAAAATAGTACRAAATGAGGCAAAAAAAAAGAAAAATTGGGAGCTTCCAATTGTTCCTTTGAAAACCTCTGTATTAGAGTATGCAAACTCAACRGYYGTATGAGTATCAAGCTCAAAGAAGGTCTAGCCAAACTCTAAGCAAAGACCAGAAAGGGTGAACTACTTCTTCCTAAGCAATTGTCCTAAAATTCAAATGTTTAAAAAGAAAACAAAAAACAGCAGGTCTACCTATCAGCCATACACAGCTCCTCAAAAAGCAACCCAAGGCGTGATGCGTCGTCCACASAGAAGAGCTGCAACCACTGGGCTGAAGTGGTAAAAGCAGCAGCACGGGCAAGACATGTGAGAGGTTCTCAGAGAAATGTGAAACGTGCAGATGTTTCACGAAGGAAGGACAAAAGGAAAACCAAAGCAAGACCTTGACCCTCATCCCACTGCTCCCTAGGCTTCATTTCTAGGAAAGGCATTCAGGCTATAAATGAACGAGTAGCATAGTTCCATTCACACCACAATRAGCGAAGACACGCTGTGGTCTGAGCTGAGGTTTGAACAAGCCTCATGAAGCTTCTGCACGGCTCTAATTTAAGCACAGACTTACATGCTGGTCTCTGCAATTCTGTTTATTTTGGTCTGAATGCTGCAGTATGAGCACTAGGAATGTTTACATACAGTAAATGTAAAATCTGCAGCAGTGTTTTCTGGCAAGTTAGTTGCATTAAGAAAAGTAGGTAAGTTACTATTCCCAAACTGTTTGAACAATACACGCTTTTTATCATCACAGTGACTAGTTTTCCTTAATAAAATCCAGAAAACTCTTCCGTAGACATTGTCAATGATCCTTCCCATTGTCTGTTGACAAACAAATTTTTAGAAGGGTAGTTTTATGTTTATCTTTCATTATACTTAATGTCCTAAGTCTTCAATGTAATACTCCACGAGAATGCATAGAAAATGCTGGGTACAAAAACAGGATGAGAATTACAGTCTTAAATATGAAAACATTCCCCTGTGAGACCTTCTCTACTAGGAACTCACTCTAGGAACATGAGCAAGCCAACACACAGAAATCTGCCATAAGGAAGGAACACTCCTCTTCATTTGAACAGCAGTTCCTCACTGAATTAAACAGGAGTAAGAAAGGACTCCCTCACGTGGACCAGGGTCTTTTGTTGGTTTAAGGTTTCTGTTTCCTCTTTTGATCTCTCAAATAACATCCCATCTACAGAGCCTCAGAAGCCCAGCAATGCAGGCTCAGGTAGGTCCATCACGTTCACAGCCAGTGGGAAAGGAAACCTCTAGCAGTGAGTTCTGCTGCAGTAACCAAGAAAGCGGCTCTGCGATCCCTGAGGCCACGCTCCCAGGCAAACAAAAAATCCCCACAGTGGATCCTCAAGGAGAGACCACCAGCAGAAGACGATTTTTTGCTGCTCTGGAACTGAGCTCTGTGCAYGGTGCACCACCAATTCAACCCTAGTCATGGGGTCTCTGCTACTTTGTGGAACTCATCCAAAGCAGCAGAGGATACCTGGGTATGCAGCATTTCAGCATGGAGAAAACCAGTCTTCTAGCGCTGTCAGCAGCAGCATCTCTTGTCTTTTTTCCTTTACTATCTCCCTTGGGTTTGTGCTGTTTTAAATTATCTGAATGATGGCAATATGTTGGGGGCTCAGACTTCATTAATTTATGAAGACTGTCATTTATTTCTGAGCCAAGACCAAGATATTTATCCCTCAACGTGATACACTCCAAAAAAAGTTCATGTTCCCTTTTCTTCCATCAATTCACCAGAATGATTTTTTAAGATGCAAGCAGGAATGATAAAAACCAGAGCACAACCTAAGGATTCTCCTGAGTATTTCATTTTATTTTTATTAACGAACTGGCACATTTTGAACTAAATCATCCAGTAATTTTCTATTAAAAATGTATTTTATGATCTATTTGCAAAGACTGTATTTACCTATCGCCCTAAATCAGGGACTCAGGGGGTTTCTGAAACAGTTAACAGCTACCATGCCGTTATTTATTATTTTATTATATTCAGTTTAATATTTATTTCTTTATCATATGCTTATTAAATTCAGTTAAAGTTACCTGAATAAACTAAAACCAACCAAACTGAGAAGTAGTCTTTACTGTGCTAATATGCTTAGCTCTACAAGCCATTCTCTGTGGTAACGTGACAGACAACCCAGTGCGTGAGGAAACTCACCTCCGGCAGCCTGCACACTGGCCAGCTGTGGTCCCACCTCTCGCAGCCCTTCGCTGTCCCCGGGGTACGTGGAGGGCTGAGCTGAACTTGTCCCCTGCGCATCGTCATCAGCCAGCGCCGCCGTCGGGGCCCGCAGCATTTCCAGGGCTCCCATGCTCGCCATCTCCTCGAAACCTTCCGACATCTGAGCCAGGGGGGAATCCCGGGAGGCGGAGAGGAACGGGGTGTCCAGGGGCGAGCTGGGAGGAGACAAGGACGACAAGGAGGACCTTGACGACAGGGAGGCCAGGGACTGTGGTGTATCCAAGGACCTCCGCTGCTTGTGGAAATTGGGAGGGCCGAGGGCGTCGGTGTAGGGCACGTCCTTGGCGAGCGACTCGAACGGAATGATGTCGAAGCGCAAGTGCTGCCCGTAGTCCGTGGCACTGTCTGATTTGTCRTACTGCGGCAGGCCGTAGATATCGGTGAAGCTGACTGAGCTGAGAGAGCCTCTGCTGGAGGCCAGGGAGCCTCKRCTGGAGGCCAGGGAGCCCCTGCTGCTGCCAGAGGACATTGTGAGGGTGCTCGCGGACAAGCTGCAGGAAGACAAAAGGAAGAAACAAGCCCTTTCACATGGGAGCGGAAACAGATCGGGGACATGAGGGACAACCAGCCAGGTTACACGAGCAGTTCTGCACCCCCTCAGCACAGTGACACCCAAACACGATACATTTGGCATTTTGAAACCAGCTCACGTCTCCTGCCCTGGTCTTAAGCGCAGAGACACCTGAAGGCGAAGGGTAGGAGAGGAATCTACTGCCCCTTCCCCAAGTCCCTAAGCAGTCCTCATCTGACAAGAAGTCAGAGCAGAGTCCACATTAGGGGGCTCAAAGCATAAACCTAGCAGGGGACTGCCCATCCGGAATGCGTGTTACTGCTGGATCACCACCCTTCCATGTGGGAAGTCCTCCCAAAGGGCTGCACCAGCCTCGCCCTCCAAGGCTGGTCCGGCAGSGATCAGCCGATCCCTGTCCCGGTGCCTCCCGCCACCCAGACAACGAGCAACAGGAGAGAGATACTGCACCACATGCAATAGATCTATCCATATACCTTTGGCAAATATTCCCATTACCCAGTAAACATACCTAAGAAACATTAAAGGGTAAAATTTTACTCCACTGCAGTTAGAAAACGTAACGTTTTCCTTTCACATAACTTACCTTTTTAACTGGGAGTGTAAATACGAGGTCAAACGTGTAGCTTCTTCTAGTTGCATAAGCAAACAATTTCTCTTTTCCTGTAACAGTATCCTATAATTAAATAGATACATATTACTATTTTTCTTTATATTACAGCAGTGCCAAAGAAATGCTATGAGATCTTCAAGCACAGAGAAACGCCACTGCATTACAGTTTGGAAATTAAAAAGCTTCAGTGTTTAACAACAGGTTTAAATTTATGTCAATTTATTTGGAGTGATGGAAAACCCAGGGACGACACAGAAACAAACACTCCAGCTGAATCTCCAGACAGGGAAAGGAGCTGAGGCTGAGCACAGACAGTCTCGGACTTGGCAAGAAACTGCAGCAATTGTCCAAATTATTAGATGTCCAAAGTGAAAATACTACATGCTAATTTTTTTTCCCCTTGCAACAACATTAGTAAATACCAATAAAATAGAGAAAACTACCATGAATTTAGTCACCTTGGCAGGAATAAATAATATTCCACGTAACTATTATTCAAGCAAGTTAGTGTCAAATTTCCAAGATAAAAAGACATTTTGGGGGGACTTTTGCTAAACAATTGCCATAAAACTCAACAATAAACTGTGATAAATAAAACCTCTCTCTGTGACTTGTGTTTTTTTTCCCCCAATTCTAAGGAATAACAAGCAGCTGAGATACTCACTGTCACTCAGTACCATTGCCACAGCACTAGTGGAATGTACCTACATTGTGGAATGTACCTACATGAATGCTGTCATTCTCAAGGGTGTGTGCAACACCCAAACTAATATACCTCGAGGTTATTAAAAATTTGAACAATAGGTTTTGTCCACTGATATAAATGTCAGTCCCTTGATGAATCCAGAACTGAAAATACTTGTCGTGTTTTTTCTTTCCAATCCATCACTCATCTTTGAAATAAAAGCAGGGTGCTAACCTGTTTTGTTACTTTATTCTGTTAGCACTTTTTTTTTTTAATGCTCTTTATGTTGATGTTATGTAAACAGGAAAGTTCCTGCTCTGGCCTCATATTTATTGGAATACTGATAAACAGTTTGGGGAAGGCAGATCAAACAGATGTAAGATCGGAGCATCAAACCTTCCTCCTCTGCAAAGACAAGTGCTAGAAGATGACACATTAACAGGTTAGATAGAATTTTAAAAATGGAAGTGCTAGCCATTCATGGATTGAATCAGGACTAGGAAAAGTCCTTGTTAGCTCTGTAAACCTAAAATCTCTCAAGTTTCTTGCATCCATTCGTCCAGTTCCAGCCTCAAAGGCCCAGCTTGGCCTCCAGCTCCACCAGTTCCCATGCTGGGAAAGTGCTGCAGTCTGGCAGTCTCCCCTATCAGGCTGGGCCTTTGAGGCAGGAACTGGACGAATGGAGCAAGAAACTTAAACAAAAGCTTGCTGGGGAAGGAGCTCACATCAGCTCCTTAAAAAAATGACATAGGAACCTACACGTGCCCCAGCTCACCCGTGGTGCGAGGGAGGCACCTGCACTGCAGGGCAAGAGACACCTCCATGATGCTGCCAGCCAAGCTCAGAAACACAAAAGCACTTTGCCACGTAGATTTGAAGTTACCCCTAGCCTGCCCATGCCTCAGTGCCTTGAAAACCAAGAGCTCAGGAGAAAGCGGAAACAGAAAGGCAGAACTGGGAATAGCTCCGGTCATGCCTGGGTCTAATACAAACAAATAAATAAACTGGGGGCACTGACACTGAAGGTTTTTTTTCTGATTTGTTACACAAAATCAATGTGCCTTTAAATATTATTTTAACATGTCTTCATCTTCTTGCTGCACTCAAAACACCAAGTATCACACTGGAACGCTGGTTTCCACAGCATGAACTACATGGAAAAACAGCTTGGCCTTCGTGCCAGTAGAGTATGCACTACCTAACATGAGAGCCCAAAACCAACAAACAAAAATTACTACTCTGCAGCGTGAACTGAACTCCTTTCTCTGTCAGTTTAAGCTGGACAGCCAACTTAACAGTATTGCAAAAGTTGCAAATAATATTATATAAAACTTTCAACTGCTGGTTGGTTATGCATTTTCTATTTTTACTGCTTGAACTTGCCATCAGCCTTTTCAAAAGAAACAAAGCTCCATAAATGTGTATACAGTAAGCACTTTCAAATATTTTTGAAGAGTCTTTAATTGCGTTAACCTGTACAGAAAACTACATTAATGCTGATTAATGGTATTTTCTTCAAGTGTCAAATCTTTTTTACCACTAATTCTGTTTGAAAAAATCTGTTTCAAAACACAAAGTGCTTCAGGGAAAACAATTCCTGTCTAAAACAATTCAGTAGACAAAAGAATTGTCCAAATACTAAAATAAATAAACAAATAAATCTCTCACTCAAATTACATCTATAAATGTAAAACTGGTATTCCTTGATATAATCCATATAAGAGAAATATGGATACTAGATACTGCGATACTAGAGCACGTACCTTTTCATGCTTTAATTGAAAGGAGTGTACAGCACAACAAGACCAAGTGCCTTTGTCCATTTCTTTGGCTACAGGACAAACTGTGTGTGACTTTGAAATCAACACATGCTGATGTAAAAAAGTGTTCATACTAGCAAGAGTTGATACATTTTCAAAAAGGACTGAGACGGAACTAGGGGGGCTGCTCACACCACAAATTTAAAGGAAAAATTGCATGCAGAGGTGGCAAATTTAATTTTTCAGTTTCTTGTGCCTATAGCAGAAACAAAACCTAGGGAAGGATTTCTGTTCTGGTACTTTTGCAGATGACTATTACTCCACTGCAACTGCAAAATAAGAGAGGATTTTACCACTATCCATGGACTACTTTCAGGCCTTTACTTATCAGACAACTCTTTGAAGTAACACTCAGTGGACTTTTTCCAAGCACTTTATTCCGATCTTTCAGACGAATGAAAGGAAAACTAACCACTCARTGTCATTCTACCACTCCTTCAGAAAACTCAAAGACAGACAGAACTAAATAACAGCAGAGTCAGGAGCAGACTCATCCATTTATGAAAGCAAATTACTCTAGYAGCTCCTTTTGTTTCTTGAACACAGGGAAACTCCTTGCTCTTCATTTTGAAACTACCCAGATGTATCTTATGGTAGATAAGAAAGTGATTTGTTAAACGTTCAAACCTTTCGGTGGCCCCGTGAGCGGAGGTTGCTCTAGCCCGTTGAATTTCATCCTCCAGGCGCCTTTTTTCTTCCTCCAGGCGCGCAATGTCTTCAGGGGACCGTCTCTGCTGACTGATGAGCTGCAGCTCCTGCAGAAGAGCCTCCTTCTCCTTGATGAGCTGAAGCCGGTCCCTGTCCGCCTCAGCCATCCCTGGCCAGGACTCGCTGTCTAGCAAGGCCAGCTGCTGCTGTATATTGGAAACTCTTCAAAAAAAGCACAAACACGTTTCAAAAAGCAGCAGTGATAAAGAAGAAAAGGAGCGATAGGAAGAACACCACAGGTAAAGAATTCTTGTCCGATGACTTCAGTGCCTTCTCCTCTAAATCYTGAATCAACACTGAGGGGAGAGCTTGAGTTTATTAGCTTTTTTTCATTTCTCCTTCATATTTTCTGAGTGGCCTTTATTTATCTGTTTCCCTATCTCACTCATTCTGAAGTAATGGGCTGGGGGAAATACAGGGGGAAGGAGGAGATACTAAGGCCCATAATGGCATGTCACATCTTCTCTATATGCAAAAGTCAAACAGAGGAAAGTTTCAAGAAGCTGAACATTTCAGGCAGTTCTGATAAGACAAATACTCTTACAAATAATTTCTCTGAGTCTAATAAAAAGAGGATGGTTGGAAAAGACGGCTGTAAAAGAAGATCAACTGGTTTCAAGACCAAGTAATGGGTTTAGTTGAATCCATCATCAAATCAAGCAAYTAAGTAAATTCAATGGATTTTTTTCTATTCAACTTTGTAATCTAAAGGAGCATCTCAGTATGCTAAATCATTACAAAATCATTACAAATCATTATCAAAAAAAAACCCCTAATACTTGTTACAAGAATGATTCCACACTGAACAGGTTTCTCTCAATCACTTTTAACTGTAACCCCCAACTTTGCAGGGTTTGAACTTAAACAGACCTGTACATTAGTTACATAACTGTACTCAGTTCCACCTCCAAATTGGAATGCCAGTGTTCAAAATTCAGTGCATAATAAAAAGCTACTGCCCTTTAAAAAAAAAAAAAACCCACAAAAAACCCCAAAAAGTAGTTTAGAACCAGCCACGAAAGTGGGATAYGCACTCGCTTCTTAAGTGATCAATTTTTCAAAATACTTTATAAAGAATGAATAAAATGGTAACAACAAACAAAACAGTAGGAACACATGACTAGAAAGATCCACAGACAAAATACCAGTCTGATGACATCCCGCAGCTTCCCAAGGAAAAGTAGACATGACCAAGATTCAAACAAAACCTCACACAATGTTTACTTCAGCCTGACATCTGGAAAGCATTTGGCCATCTTATTATCAGGGGAAGGGACCTAAAGGATCAATATCAGCCATTTTATAATTACCGTTTTAATTACAGTTTCTGTGCTCCTATATGAACAGGAATTTTACTGTGGGTTTTGTCACAGCAGGCTCTTTCCCCGCCTAGTTTTCTTTTACAGTAAGTAACGAATTTGGGTATTATGTTACATTTTAGTCTGAAATGAGGTATTTTATCAAGTTGTTCAATAGCACTTCCTCTTTTTGTTATGAGCAGCCCGCTGCCTGTGAATAGCTGGTGACAGCACAATTGTGAATGGCGCGGGGCAGCTGACGCATTCCAAGCCTCGCCTATTGTGCGTGAGCTCCAGATGCAGTTTCCTGATGGACATRGCGCCCAGCGCTGGAGCCGCAGCGCCAGGAACCGCAAGCAGAGCCCGCAGCCTTCCTCCTCCTCCTCCTCYTTCGCCTCCCCCACACTGCTAAGTGGTTAAGGATTCAGTATACACTTCTGGACGTGTATACAGCTCGACTTGCTTGACTTTCAAGCGCCTGGTGCCAAATGAAACAAATGGGAACTTGAGGCCTGCTCAGCAGAACTACCAAGTTCAGACCCAACTGAGTTATCAGAGGCAGCAGCAGTCAGCTGAGCTCTGGCAAGTCCCTTGGGTGACCATCGTCTGAAGCTCTTAGCCTGTGGATGGGATGAGGGATGTTTGGTGAAGTCTCCGGGTTGCAAGTCAGCTGGAGGASTGACTCCCTCTTTAACACTCACACTATTTCCCTGGGCAGTTTTCAGGAGCCGGGTATCGCTGTGGACAGGACATGTTGTCCCCTATACTAGCCCTTGGGTCACTGAAGAGTCCACCGAAACARATCCAACCTGTTCAGGTGTTTACTCGTGATTCCCTGGACACCCTCAACCTTTCAGCGAGCGCTTCTTGCCGAGAAGCAAGAGGACGCACCCGTTGGGCACCATGCAGTGCGGGAGCTGCCATGAGGCGCACGGCACATCACCAGGGGCAGGCCGTGAGGGGCACATCAGCAGGGGCAGGCCGTGAGGGGCACATCGGCAGGGGCAGGTTGTGAGGGGCAGGCCGTGAGGGGCACATCAGCAGGGGCAGGCCGTGAGGGGCACATCGGCAGGGGCAGGCCGTGAGGCGCACGGCACATCAGCAGGGGCAGGCCGTGAGGGGCACGTCGGCAGGGGCAGGCCGTGAGGGGCACGTCGGCAGGGGCAGGCCGTGAGGGGCAGGTTGTGAGGGGCACATCAGCAGGGGCAGGCTGTGAGGGGCAGGCCGTGAGGGGCACAGCACCAAGGGCAGCATGTGAGGGGCACATCACGTCACCAGGGGCAGGCCGGTTTCCTGCACCCCGGATCGCCCGTGCTCCCCCACAGTGAGGCCAAGCCCTCCCACGAGCCAGCTCCGTGCCTCCCACCAAGGGCAAGGAAACCCGGAAAGCGGCCACGATGAAACGAAACTATTTAAATTCATCTCCCCGGCTAGAAAAATATCCCGAAGGCTTCTCCAGTCGAGAGCAAGACATGAGGATAGGGGGCATGTTCCGTTTTCCTGCAAGGGCACAATAAAAGAACCCTTCCAAGAACGCTCCATACTTGCAATTCGTCTTCTCCAAACACAAGCCTTTCCTACCAAGCAGAACTAATGCACAAACTAACACTTACACTGGGCACGTCTGTGCCACGTTTAGAGCCTACACTGCACCAGCCGTTCTTGCTGCTAGCCCATTAGAAGCGGCTTTTTTGCTCAGTTTCCACCTCAGAGCATATATTCATCTATCTTAACCACAAACTTTAATAAATCAATGAATTGTCAGGAATATCRTTTTAAAGGGCAGAGGAGAGAATTAAGGTCCTTTTCAGAGCCTCTGTTTTTCAAATATATTTTTTTCTTCCTGTTGGGTAATTTTTGAGAAACTCCTTTTAGAGTGTAAGCACTCTAAAACCAATGTAACCCAATGCCAAGACCCGAGGTCCCTCCTGAAGTAGCAATTCGACATTTTCCTGGGGAAAAAACAGTTAATTTCTCGAACCATCAACATTCCAGGCATTTTGCCCATTCCCATCCTTGCATAACAAGTGCTGAGGAACTCGCATTCCACACTCGAGTAGGTGGTATCAAATGACTGGTTTCCTAGGTAGACAGACCGACTTGCTGCTTATTTCAATATTCAGAAATTTCTAATAGCACTGAATATAACAACTCCTGTAAAGCACAGGAGCAGGAGGGATGCAAATGGGGGGACAAAAGTTTAACCTCGTCACAGGTTTAATCTTAAATAAATACCTTTCTGAAATGACAAACTTGCTCTGAAGTGGCCATATTGATATAACTTTCATTACGCATTTTTCCTGATATTGTTGACATAGTATGAGGAGGTTGGAAACAAATAAATTGCTGCACATCCTCCAAACTACATCATGAAAAAAAGGCAGGACAAGCAAACAGAAAAAACACCCCGCATTTTCAGAATTCACTGCATGCCTGAACCGGGAGATTTCCAYACAAAAGTGCCCAGCTCTCGTCAGAAATACCTGGGAAAACTCAAGGATTCTGTTAGGAGCCAGAGGCTCCTTTCCAGACTGCAAGGGTGCTATTTGAGCTCGGCACTCAATGAAGTTATGCTACCCAACTCAAATGCATTTCGCTTTATAAGCRGTTATTTATTAAAACACAACATAGGAAATGAGAATAAAATTGAAATCCGTTTTGTGTGTATGTGTGTGGAATGAATTACTTGATATATTTGTATTACAGATTAGCCCCATGTTTAAACCATTATTCCAATTACAAACAAAACAGGTATTGAGGGAAACAAATACTCTGAAGGAATCAAAAGAGGGCAAAATTAAGGAAACCAGGAATCTAGCATTTCCTAACTTGTGCATGCTGGTCTTTCTAACCTAAACACATTCTTCTAACATATTTTCTTTGACATTCCCAAGCTGATCTTAAAGAACAACAAAAACAAAGTCTACATTTTACTGCATAGGCTTCTGGGTGACATACTGACATGACATACATTTTGGGTGACATACATGTCATACATACTGACATGACATACATTTTAGGTGACATACATGACACTCTTCTGCTGAGGCCTTTGTTACCTGATGGATGGGAACACTGGCTGGGACAAAAAAAAGGCCATGGTGATTTGCAGAAAGGTGGTTAAGATCACACAAAGTCCAGAAGAGATCAGTGACAGAAATCAGTCCAGCTCACCTTTTATTTTCTTGCTTTTTTTTTTTTTTTTTTTTTTTTTTTTTACTCCCTTTCTGGAAAGGGCTTATGACCAAACTAACCCTACTCTCTGGCACTTCACATGACAGGGAATTTCTACCACATGCAAAACCTGGAAAAAGTGGTTATCAGGTCAAGGACACTTGAAGCAGGCTATAAGAACAGGGTAATTTCTGGTATTTGTGGTCCCTTTACAGAGTAGATTATAGTTGACATCAAAAGAGAGGAAAGCTAGGGAATGGGGAAGAAAGAAATGGAAAGAACAAGAAGTTGGGGAACTGAGCCAAATGCTCACAAAATTTCTCCACTGTGTCTGCTTTGACTGTTCCCGCAAGGATATGCCACTGTGGCTTTGGCAGACATCACAAGTATGTGCTTCAGAATACCCAGCCTTCTTGGAAGCCTGCTTCAATAACAAGGAGGTCTGAAATTGGCTTAAGACCTCCATGAAACCTTTGGAGTCCACTGGCATTTCTCACGTAAAATTAGGTATTCACCTTCAAAGGCAAATTGCAAGGCCTGTTAAGAACAGCRGAGGAGAGGAGCAAGTATTTCCTCAATTCACAAGTAAATTCTCACAATAAAAAATTTAAAAGACAGCTTAAGACTGTGGCTCAGTTCTCTCTAAACAGAAAAGCAGTTTTATGTTTGAAAAAACAAYACTGGGAGATCTAGGTTTTGCCAACGTTCCTAACCCAGGTATTTATGTGTTATCAGGCAAATTGGCTCTTCCCTAAATCAGATTTACAGATTAGTTAARTAGAATCAAGCACACAAATCCTGAATTTGACTAGAAATGAGGAAATTACTTGCCTACACAAGATGAATTTTGACAGTAAAATATTTGASTGTATTATCAGTAATGAAACGTTCCTATCATCAAAAATACATTTTGTCAGTATCAGCAGATAGTGCACTGATACACTTTTGCCTTTGCTCTTACAAGTATGATTGAAAATTGATTTGAGTAATTATTTTTCATCAGCTGACTGCATTTACTGCATAGAAGGTGCTGCAGCAATGACTTTTCAAGACAACTTGCCAATATACTTTATGTAGCTGTTCACCTGAACTGCACAACTTGGATTTATTTGGAGCAAAAAGAAAGAAAAAAAAGGTTTTGAATTTACTTTCTGTGAAACAGTCTATTGAGAGGAGTGCTCGAGGGGGACCCTTTCCCTCGTGCAAATGTTCATGAGAGGTGGTCTGAATGAAACAGCAACTGAAACCAAAACGGGTGTTTTTCCAGGCAGCTGGGGGTTGCCTGTTCAAAAAAACCCRTCCTCCCTCTGTCCTTTCTCTGGAGGCCACACTGACAGATCCAAGAGAAAAGATTTCATGGAAATAAAGTAGAGTACATTTTAAAACAATGGGAGGAAAGGACAGAAGGAAACTGATCTGTGCTCTCTCCAGCGGGGCCGGAGAGGTAACGCGCACAACTGAGGCGCCTCCTCGCAGCACGCCGGGCTGCGCGCGGGACCGGAGCCGCCTTCCCCAGCGTGCTGAAGCCCTCAGAAGCCCTAGCTCACAACTTCCGAAGATCCTCACGGGAAAAATTAAAAGGCAAATTATCCAACTTCCTTCCAGTGGGAAACTAAAGAAAAAAAGGCTCTGTGATTATCTTAATTTATGCAGAGGCCAAACCACTCCACACTGTCAGGGAGAGATTTTGAGGAAGGAATTAAAATCAGATTATCTCCTAAAAAGGAGGAGGGAGATTCTAAAAGAACTASCCAACTTTGATGCAGCCACTGAGTCTCAGCTCCCCAATTCTTCCAGACAGTTCTTTTGCGTAACCCAACACTGTATTTTCCTTCTAAGACACCRTATACATATGCATTTTGTTTTTTAAAGAATTCTTTACTACATATGGCAAATATTCTATTCCCATCTAAAGCTGTGTTATCTCCTGCATAGATTCTCAGTGTCTGCATTTCAGCCTGGCTATTTTTTCCTTGTTTTTCTTTAAGGAAAGAGACACACACTCCTCCTCCAGCATATTTTAAGCCTTCCATTAAAAGACGTGTTGCTTTTTGAAGTAAACAAGACATTTTGCCTACTCTTGCTGTACTTATTCACTATACATGTCCACATTCCATTTGACAAGCAAGTGGTTGTAATACAGTGTCTTACAGTTGCGATATACTGTAGCATTTTAATTTTCTACTCTGTAGACTTTAATCCATCGCAGCACATTCCGTCACCCACGTTGCGCACTAACAGTAGAGATTTCAGCAGCCAAGGGGAGAACGAACACAAAGATATTTAGTAGAGACAAAAGCTCTACAGAAATGCCAGCAAGCTAAGGGGAAGGAATGCATGATAAATGAAGAATGCAACCACAGAGATAACTGGTGGGGCAATGAGCTTTGTGCAGTTCCACTCAAAAGCTGAAAGCTGATTACTTCCCTGCAACACACTGGGCAAAACAGGGCTACTATTTGCAAGCAACTAGCTTGCTTTTGCTGAATACCAGACCATTTTCAGAGCATTTWCCCCGCATAGAAAATCATCTTTACTGTAATTACTGTTGTCTGGTTGGAGGGTTAGTTTTCTCCCTCGTTTTCTCCACTCCACAGTTAACATCAGTTAACTCCACAGTTAACACAGTTAACTCCAACAGTTAACATCAAAACCCAGCTCGCTTCTGATGYGCAGAAATGCTGCATTCCCTGCATATGAAAGTTTCAGCATTTCCAGCTGGGAAATGCTTCTGCTATTTAAAACAAGCCAAACCAAAGCAAACCAAACCTTATCTTCTCCCTCTGCCAATCCACAAAAAAAAAAAAAGATTTGTTTTTGAAAAAGGTGAAAAAATATGGATCACAAAGACTTAACTAAAACATACAATACAATCTTTATATCATCAAAAGTTGTGCTAAGTTAAGCAGGACAAAATTGAATTCTGTATTTCCTAATTAATCGACTGTCATATATCCCTACGTTATCACTGGACTGCAGAGTGCTCAGGGTTACTCATGTGATCAACCAACCTGTTAATGGATTTCTAGTTTGCCTTTTCCCTCCCCTACTATTTACCTTTTACTAAGTACACAGCGGCAGGGATCTATCCCATGCATCATTTTCAGAAGTTGTCTGATCCAATACAGACTTTCAATCCTGCTACAAATCCTGGAGAAGTTTAGCTGCCTAGCTACAATCTGCTTGCAGCATGTATTTTTTAAGCCTGTACTGTATCCAAATGAACATAAATTTTCCAAGAATGACAAAAAGACAACTTTCTTTTTCCAAGAAAGGAAAAGCCTAGCTTGAAGAATACAACCTGGAAAGCTAAGGTTTTCAAAGTTAGCTATAACAGGATCTTTTAAGCATCTGCCAATTTTAATAACTATTCTGTTAGCACACATTAAAATAATCATGGATGTATAAAATTACTGTGTACAAGTTGTCATCTATACCTATGCTGTTGCCTTGTACATGTAGCAAATACATGAGAACAGTTTACACTTATAAAGCCTTAAAAAAACCCTGCAAGACTAATATCCACAGAAGAAATAATTAAGCAATTAGCAATTAGACTGGAGACGGCAAAGAATTATCCTATTTCAAGTTCATTTATTTAAAAAAAAAACATTTATCAAAGTTGTTTCTCATGTGAAGGTTTGGAGGGTTTTATTTCTGCCTTTTTGTTCAGCTAGAAATATTTTCACTTGTCTTACAGTATTTTTTTATTCTTCCTTCACACTGAATTTACAACTTTAACATACTGAATCTGGAACACAGGTATGCAAAACTGTGAATACACTGGCAGAGTCAGRCAAAGTAAGGTCAGACTGTTGTTTATATTGAGGTTTGAGAAGAAAAAGAAAAAAACTGTCAAAGTTCAATTAAACCACTACAATTTTGTGTTTATGTGAGTGAAGAACACGACTGACATTTGGCTTTATCTTTGCAAACAAATACAATAATCTTACGATAAAGTCTTCTGTTTATGTAAGCTTTTACTATCTCTTAAATACTCAATACTAAGCAAATCAATCTCCTTAAACACATTTCAACAAGATCCTAGTTCCAGTTCCACTTTGAAAACCTTAATCAGAAATAAAAAAATAAAACCCATCAAAATTAAGTCCACTCACCTTTTCTTGGCCTCTTCATATTGCCAGTTCAGTCTTACTTTGTCTACAAGTCTTGTTTTATCATCAAAGCCAAACTTKTGTAGAGTGGAGGAGAAAGAACAAGGAAAAAAAGGGAGGGGGCAGAAAAAAGATTTTAGAAAACACTATCACAAGGAAGGGATAAGTTAGTCTCCTCTACTAGCCTCACTAAAAAAAATGCTGCTGTTTTAAGTAATAACATAATCAAAATCCATTTAAAGCTTTCAGGAAAGAAAACGAATCTTTTGCTGAAAAATATGAAAAATAAATAAATCTGCCTTTTCAATAAATTATAATCTTTTACATCAACAGTTAACAAGCATAACTACTTAGGCATGAGCAAAGCTTTCCAATTTAACCAAGGTTAATATAAAAAGAATGAATTTTAGATGAAATATTTCATCGCTTGGATAAAGCTTTTTCATGAAAAATTTCTTAAATGTCGCTCAGATTACCAAACACTGAAGTGCTACCCAGCACTTAGCTCATTGCTGTACTTTAAAGACTATTCTGAAACTGTTGATATATGTTGTTTGAAGCAGGCACAGAATACACACTTATGTTAYGGCTCCTAGGGGATCCCATCCGCTTTCCACAGCGGCTTCTCACCATCTCATGGCATCCCACCTTCAGAAGGCTGTGTAGGGCCTAAAAGTTAAAGCCCACCCTAAATGCAGTGCTGTACTGCTACACATCCTGTTAAACTCCTGGTTTACTCTCTTCACTATCACATCTCCAAAAATAAAGCCCCTCCTTCACTCACATTCTCTCACGAATAATTCAGGAGAATAATTCCCTTATGTACACGAGGAGAGCTGATGAGGGGATGTCATCCACCTTGACTTCAGKGAGGCTTTTGAAACTGCCTCCCACAACATCCTTACAGCTCAGCTGATCAGCAGGCCATGAAGTAGACTGAAAACCCACCGAACAGCAGAGCTCAAAATGTTGGGATCAGTCATAAAAAGTCCAGCTGGAGGCCAGAAACCCAAGCGAATATTGAGTACAATCCTGCTCAACTTGCACACCAGGGACCTAGATGACAGGACTGAGAGTTTGCTCCTGTGGCTGCTATGCTAGGTTGTTGTGGCCCTCTTCAGAAGGGCCTCATAARGCTGGAGAAATCAGGAGAACAGAAMCACAAAAGTTCAACATAGAGAAGAGCTGAGTCTTGCACCAGGGGAGGAATAACCCCACGCATGGGACATGATGGGGGCCACCTGTTAGAAAGAAGGAATCCTTCTGTTCTCCTGTTAGGAGAAGGAATTGRACATCCTGGTGGACACCAAGTTGAACATGGACTAGCAATGTGATCTTATGGCACACAGGCAGGGCCTACAGTGATGTATTTGTGTTTCCTAACAAATATCTCTACCCAATAAGTGTTGTTTTCACATTATACTTGGTTTGGGATGATATTTAATGTATATCCTTACCAGGAAATCCGATTTCCTTCTAGCAAATTTTAATTTAATGAGCACTTCTACTGCTCATCTGAAAAAATCACACCTGCAGGTACCAGCTATATAATGCACTGAAATAAAGCCCAGGGTGCTAAGTTCTCCTAGATGTTTTAGTAAAGCTGCCTTATTTAAAACATATTTTTTTTCCACTGTAGCGACCTTCTGAAGTCTTCCAACTTGACAATAAGTCAAGTCATAAGACAGTTACAGAGTAGAAGAGGGCTAGTAAAAGCCTATGAAGGGCATTAAAGTTACTTTAAAAAAAAATTTAGTGAACTGAGTATCTGAAACGACATCCAAGTGATAGTACCAATACAAAGTACAAACAGGCTGTCTTCCTGTCCTATTGTTAACCTGATTCACAGCAGCAAATATATGTTTTATTGCTCAAGAACAGCCAGGCCGCCATAGTAATAGCATAAGACAAACGTTGATCATTTTAATATAAAATTTAAAAATCATTTTAATATAAAATTTAATTTATACAAAATTATTTCCATGCTAGAATGCTGTTCTCAAGTATCATTTTTAAAGTCATAACTGAGCATAAAAGAATGACAAATGAGATCAGAAATTCCACCAGTTCTTACAAAAAATTTTTTGGAGCTTGAACAGTTCCCTTGTCTTGGACAAAGGAAAGGAAGAGAGGCCTGTCCTAAATATTTGATAACCATGAAAGAGGATGACAAGCATGACGAAAATAAGATTTAAGAAAAAAATAATATCAGAATATTAACAGAATATTAACAGCTCTCATTATTGCACAATCACGTCTCTATTGCAACTCTGAGATGAGTATTTTCTGCCTTCCTGCATTGCTGCAAATATTGTTAAGTCTGAGAACTGGYAACAAGAACGTAACAGATCTGTGTACAAGTCTGCAAGGACTGATTTCCAAGACACAAACCTCAGTGACGACCAGAAAAGTGCTCCGTTGGACAGGCAGAACCCAGGAGCTAATTGGGCCTGGCTCTAACTTGCGAGTGTGTCACAACAGCCCTGAGCCATGAGAAACACGAAGCTCACGAACGTTGCTCACAACCTTTGAAAATCTTTAAGTAAAAAAGCAACCCTGGACTTTGAACCTCCAAAACCTTGGCTCTGACAGAACGAAACATGCAGCACATCTTAAACTGAAGCAGGAAATCACGCTGTATCCATGCAGCACACAGGCAGTGCATTCTCCTCTGCAAGCGCCCCGCTTGCGCTGGGACACATACCTCTCCAGTGATGTCAGTCTGAGAACAAGCATCGCAGTGTTGTTGAGGTAAACAGGAGTCGCTGAGCGAACTGGAGTTGTGCTGCAGGTCCTGCAGGGAATCCGTAATACAACAGCTATTCCTGAAGCCATCTGTTAGCTTGGCCAGGCTCTACGAGAGAACAGACAAAAACAAAACAAAATAAAACCAAAACAACAACAACAAAGGAGTAAGAGAACCCGATTTTAGCTGCTGTATGCCTTACAGGCAGCTCTTTACATCTAGCAGCTGACAGCTTTCAGGTTAGTTGATAGGAAAGACAAATGTGACTCACCTGCCCTTTGCCATTTTTTGCACATTTGGCATTCCATAGCTACCACCATTATCACATCCAACTTGATGAATACCTTGTATTGAATGTATTTTTATGACAGCAGATTTCACCTTAGTGCTCTCTTGCCCAAGGTTCACATACTAGAGATATTTTATACTTTGGGTTAAGCAAAGGACATCTCTAAGATGTTTAGGGAATGACACAAATTGTGAGAGTGAAGCAGAGACCTTGGGCAGTATTTAAGTGAAGAATTTGGCTGATAGGCTTTTAAAACTCCCTTTAAAATCCCTCAGAAATATAGAATTATTTTTATCAGACTTATTTTCTGATTCTGTATTTTCTAGTTTTCAAAAAGTAATTCCAGCTCATTTAGTATTTGTGACAAAACCAGTGTGTAGCTCGTCATTTGTGACTTAAGCACTCAACACTGCAAGATGTCAAGAAAAGCTTTCTAAAGAATACTGTTAAATTCTGCTCCTAGGGTCTGAAAAAACAAGACATACAATGAAATTATGTGAGAAGCATTCATCAGAAATTGAATTCTGATTATCACTAATCATAACCTAAGCAAGCCATTTGCTTCTAAAAACAGACAAAAAAACTCAAAGTGGTTGGCCTCAAGGGTCTACAATACAGAAATTGATACTAGTTGAAACTGATACTAAATTGATACTATTGAAACCACTCAAAACTGTGACTGCTGGCCCTGAAGAACCCAATGGCTGACGGTAACTGATGACCTGCAGTAAGGTCTGGTTACTCCCTAAGTGGTCAGGCTATGGCCAAGCCTGTGGAGGGGCAACAGGAGCACACGGGGACGGTGCCTTTCCTTGCAGTACACATATGGAGTGGAGCATGGGCACGGAGCAACCCGCCGCTGCCCTCAGGAATCGTGAGGGCACCTTGAAGACGAGGATGGCGCCTCGGAGGCCTCCTCAGATCCCGCTGGAGGGCCTCRAACAGTGGCAGGGCCAGACGAAAGCAGCAAGCAACGCCAGCCACCTGCGTGGCAAAGCTCAGCCTGGCTCGGGGCCCGGGGGAAGCCAGCTCTGCTGCTGCCTCCGAGCCCAACTGCGCCATCCTCGTACCGAGGGCACGCGCCTTGGCTTGTTCTCAGTGTCAAGAACGCAGCATCCAATTTCCCTTATAGTGTCAGGAAATCCCTCACCAGTGTCCCTTTACCCTTGGAAGGCTTGCTGGCAAAATAACATAAAGTAACACAACATAAAAAAAAAAAACAAACAAAAAAAGCTATGTTGAAGATGAGGAAAAACAGAGAGTCTTTCACTTTATGAAGCCTGAAAACCAGAGTCAGAAAAATGTTCTTGCTCAAGACTCACTGGAAAGCTTCCAGTTCTGTCAGCTCCATGGAGGATCAACATAGATTCCTAGCGGGTCTGTGACATGGCAATAATCCCTTGTTTCAAATCCTGACTACTCGAACATCAGGTGTCTAATATGGCCTTCCCAAGAAAGCAGAGCTCACTGATATGAGAACAAACCTGTGGACTGGGAAASCCTGGGGTTTCAGGCAAGGCAGCTACATCCCACCTGGAGCCTTTGGCTACCATGCACAGGCCATAAGTGTAGGCAACAGCGAAGACCTTGATGCCAGAACCCAACACATCAACTTCTGCCCGTGTTCGAGCTGCTCCACGCACAACTGCCGCCCTCCAGCACCTCCCTGGCGGATGTGAGGCACCCGGCTGCCCTCAGCTGTGGGAGCTGGGCTGAGTCCTGCTTGGAAGCTGCAGCCTGAATGGCCGCACTTTTAGATAGAACAACCCACCTAAAAAAGAGCTGGGAGAGGGATTCGCTCGAGCCAAGGGGATAATCTCTCTCTGGCCTGAGGCTCACGGTACTGGGGCTTACAGACTGTTCCTGGCAATCCTGTGACGAGTGCCACAGTGAGCCTGGGGACGGAGCTGARGCTTCAGGGAAGCCAGCCCGAACGTACCCGGAGGGGAGCAGGGAGCACCAGCTCGTTGTTGACCGGCTGCTCTCTGCCACCTACACTCTGTGCACAGCTCCTACGTGATGCTAGCAGAAAGGGAAAGAAGAAAAAGAAACAGAAAATATCTCTAAGACAAGCAAGTATTTCTAGTGCTTCATAAGGATGAAGTTTTGAAGGCAAGTTCATAACAGAAACAAGAGCATGAAAGCGATAGGAAAGAAAAGAGAGAAAGAGAAAGAGAAAGAGAAAGAGAAAGAGAAAGAGAGAGAGAGAGAGAGAGAGAGAGAGAGAGAGAGAGAGAGAGAGAGAGAGAGAGAGAGAGAGAGAGGCGGGATGCTGCTTGCAGGACCTGACCACACACCTTGATTGTTCAAACCTTATATAAAAAGGCTAAAAAGGCTAGGCCTTTTTTTTTTTTTTTTTTTTTTTTTTGGAGCCCTGACCGCGTGTTTGGCCATACTTGTAACCACAGCACCCAGTTTAAATCTGACCACCCTTTCCTTCCCCTCTCAGCCTTCTCTCCCACACAACTCTATCCAATTATCATATTTCTAAGACAGCTACAATTTTCCAAGCACCTACACAGGACTGAGTCACTTCTGCTATGTTTAGTTCTCTTGCTACCCTGGCCAAGATATAAATTAAGAAGTAGTAAGAAATTTTCTACTTCCTTTCTCTGAAATAAAATCCCAGCTGTTTACACAATACTTCCAACCCCTCTATAAATTCAGCTGTCAGAAAAAGAAAAGTTTTCCCAAGAAAGTTTGTCTTACCAACAATAGTTTTTAAATGTAGCACTTTCAAGGACAAACCAATTCCAAAATTGACAGTACAGGAAATAATGAAATTCCAAACTCAGCAGGGGAATTTTTAAAACAGACTTTCACTTGTTCAACAATACTAAATAAATCCATAAGAGCAATTAACAATATGAAAAATAAAATGGCTAAGCACAAGTTCGCTCCAGATAGCTTTGAGGAGGCATGAAAATCTTTTTTTATTTGTTTTGGTCACAGTTAAAAAAAAAGGCACAAAGCTCGGTATTTTAACAGAGCACAATAAATGTAAGCTGGCTGAAGTTCACAGCTGTGGCAACTCCAGCTCTTTTAAACTACACTGCTTGGTCCCTTACTTCAATTGAGAGAGAATTCGGGGTACTCCAGGCTTGCACGGAGCAGTTATTTCCCAGATTCTCCTTGACTATGTATCTGCTAGCACTTGTCTGCTATCATAACACATCAGCATTAAAAACTGTTCCTTCTAGACCACTATTTCCTGGACGTCCTACAGATTTAACAACTATGACCACAACACTTTTCATTTTCACTTTTGTGTGACCTCCACATTCTGGTATCGCCAGAATGCAACATCCATGATGCTGCATAGCTTGAGTCTAGATTTCTACCTCTCTCAACACTGCATATAAAAGACACTGCAAATTGCTTTAGCAGATGCAATTTTCACAGCATCTCAAGGTTTTCAGTTGGATACAGTGCTACTGAAGACTGAAAATGCAAGGAAAAGGAAAAAAAAATGTTGGGAGAATCCAAACAAGGCCAGCAGTTAAGCAGCTCCAAGATCTCACACACAAGTCTTTAAATTACCACTCTGTTTCCCAAAACGTGCGTCACTATATCCTTGAAGAACTGCCTTTCTAATCATCTCTTGCTAGCTAAGCATGTGGAAGACTGAGAACCATTTTAAAACTTGGCCAACATAAAATATCAAGTATGTTAGAAGTTGCCAAAGCAGAAACTTCAAGTAGTGACTTAAGTGTTCTGTCTACTTGAACAAGGATTTGTGGTCCATCAGCTGACCTTTGGGTAATACTTTGAAAATTGAATAATCGTATAACTATGGAAACTCATTATATGTAGATTGCAAGCAACCCACATCATATAAGAAAAAAGAAAAAAAAAAAAGTTGCCACAAAAAACTATTGCTGAGAAAAAGGAAAAACGTGCTTGAGTAGAAGTATTAATAGCAGTAATAGTTTAGGAGGGTCCCAAAACTTGGGCAACCAAGGTGATGTCTTTTGTCATATAACAATTTCAGCACTGAGAACGATCCTTACTGCCCCTGTGCAGCCTTTCTGGGGGAGTCCGGCCTGCAGCCCCTGTGGTGACTCCGCTCCAACACCGAACTCCACTCGTGTTGACAACGCAGACACGGCGACAGACAACCCAGAGCAGGGTGCAGAATCCACTCAAAAGCTGAATGCAGCTCGGGCATCTCTCTCTTTCCTTAATCTTCATGCTCCAATTAAAAAATCATTAGTTTCAAATCTGAACTGTGCATGATGGTGTCTGCACATACTGAACTTAATGCATTTAACCCTCTCCCAGGAGAGGTGGTAGGGTTAGGGTYGAGAGGACATTTGAAACTGTGTTTAAATTAACTTGTGCCTGGATATGGATACTTAGGAGGAGAGTTTGTGGCGAAAAGGAGAACTGCCAAAGTAGAAGGCAATATGTAATGGCAGTGACGTAGAGATATGGTGTTTTCAGGGAATCTTGTGAGGGTCAATCTAGTTACGCAGCTTAGTACAACATGGCACAACCCCCAGCAGCTGCTGGGTGGGGGAAGTATCAGCAGATTCTGCATCAGCAGGAGCAAAAGATTTCCTGCATAGTTTTATGAGAACTTACCAAAGGAAAAACACACACTCACAAACTGATAAATGTTTTAGCATGTGACTGCCTCAGTCCTACTTCATTATACAGGACAAAGGAGGACATGAAAAACTGAAAGCAAACATTGTAAAATTGATTAAAGACTTTTTTTAAAAAAATGCAGCCTAATTACCCTGTWAAAGTCTTTAATATAGTTATCAGCAGTGGAAAGCAATATTTAAAAAAGATATTTATCCAAATGTACAGAGAGTGTAATCTAGGGCAAAAATATGAAAGGCACCACAACCAAATTAGGCCACTCCACACATTTAAACTTGATAGCCCCAAAGCAATCACACTGCACATGGCAGCTATTTGCTGAGCCGACTACTTCTTACCTGCATAAGGTCCTGCCTTTCTTTTTCACCTGTGCATATAGCTTTCTTGATTGTTCGAAGCTCACTCATTATAGCTTGTGCTTCATCTAGCCTGTAATTTGTATGAGCACTTGACATTTTACGATCAATCCTGTTGGAAAAAATAAGACAAGTTCAGAAACTTTTGCAGAGGTAAAAGGAGTATCAGAATCTTTTAAGACCTCTCATTTACTCGTGTACCACTTTGCTTTCAGAAACAAAATGATTCAAATGATTCTCTACTTTTAATTAGTGCAGCATTGAGTGTCCAAAACACTCAAGACTGCAAGGAAGACAATAAACACAGCAATGCAGTGCAAAGCAAAGCAACCCACTCAGGTTCTGCAAAATCAGCAAATTTCCTGGTTTTAATGTGCCAACACAGAGCTCGCTTACTACAGGTAATATCTGTGGGTTACATTTTGCAATAGAGATAAAGTTAACCTAAAGCCAGCCTACACGTACTAAACCAGAAGATAAAGACATTAGCCATCACATTTTCTATGCAGCACTTATGGTTGGAATATAGCACTTCTAGCACCCTTATGGTTGGAAAAGACCTTTGAGACCATGGAGTCCAACCGCGAGCCCCTCTACCCCCTGCCTGTTAAATCATGTCCCCAGGTGCCTCATTTGCCTGTGTCTTGAGCACTGCCAGGGACYCCAGGGATCCCAGCACTACCCCGGGCAGCCTGCTCCACTGCTCCACCACYGTGTGTTGCAACAAGACTTCCAGGAGTTACGCCTGGTCGCGTTTTAAAACTTCCTACAGAAGGCAATCCTTTTTCTCAGGAAGATTTTTTTAAAGGTCTAAATTGCATTCTAAAATTTTCTTGGTCATTCCACAGTCTATTGGGCATCTCTGAAGATTTTTTTTCTAGCAAATGTAGCCAAAGTACTGCTACTGTTCCCATCTTAATATCAAAATCTTTCCCATCTTAAAAGGGACATCCATTTATAAAGAGCCCATCTTAACTACTCCAAAAATCCAGCATCTTCAGTAACTGCTGAATCAAYACGTAATTTTTTTTCCAACTATTTACTATACTAAATATCAACAGGTTGGTGCCTGTTGATCACCCTCACAAACCTGGATCACCCTCAGAAATAAAGAGCGGGAACAGAGTCTAAAGTACCTTATAGAAGAATCATTTGGGTTTGGATTTATAATAAGTGACTATAGATTTAACAAGCTGCTCACAGCAATTAGTGAAAACAGTGTTTTTCCTGTTAAATTTAAATCCTGTCAAAATATGAAAATAACCATTTCTCTACTGCTCARAAAAAAAGGGCACATGCAACACTATGGTGCATAACCATAACAATGCTAAGAAATAACATCTTCAGGAAGAGGTTAGAGGAAAAGTAAACATAGCAGGAGCATCACTCATCACAAAGAACATCTGTCTATAAAAAGATGCAAAAAGAGAAGTTACGGGACACAAACACAGTGAGAATGCTCAAGCTATTTATAATATTGAAAACAACTGAAGTTTGAACATAGGTGTAACAGTAAGCTACGAGCATCGGTAAAAAAAAGGAAAAATAAGGTGCAGTCAATTCTTGGCGTAGAAAATAACTTAATTTTGACCAAAAGTAAAATACAGACTTCCCAAAATATTTTGTTCACATTCCACAGATATGATTAGGCAGAAATCTACCACTTTCTCTTAGCAGAGGGAAAAAAATAAACAGCCAGCTTGAAAAGAAAGTACCTAACTATAAAGTTGACGTGTGCTATCTTCTAAAACCACCACAAATCTGCTCAGGATTCTCTCTAAAAGCTTATCAAAGAAATCCTTGCACTGTAGTGTAATGAAGGGAATAAAAATACAAAATGCCCAATTCTGAAAACACTAAAATACAAAACCAGGAATGGAAGTGCTTGAACTACACTACAGCTCAAACTACACAAACAAAAACTTTGTTGTCCTCTTCACTCAGCATGTTCTGCCAGTTAAGCAGAACCAGTAAAATTCCACTCGCAGCATACTACTTCCATTAAAATTAAAATATTAAAGCAATAAAAAGAAAAACCAATATGCCTTGAATGAAACTCTTGTGGTTTTATTGTGCAGTTCAAAATATTTAGGAGGAACTCTAGGCTGGGTTTCCACAGTTTTGGTTTGCTTGTTTTTTCCCGACAGCTCCTGCTTTTTTGGAGACAATGTAAAGCAAGTCAGAATCTCAGCTTACTGCTTAAAAACAAGCCTCCCTCTGTTGCATAAGAAAATAAGAACCTTTAACATTTCTGTTTCTAGAACCACAAAGGACCTAAAGGTCACACGAGCTAAACTTCTCATCGTTTTTTTAAGATGATTACTGGAGTCTTCACTCATTTTTACTGCTGGGTCAAAATTCTGCAAAGATCAGAAAAAAAGCACAGTAAAACAACCAATCCAATTCATTAAAAGCTTAGTAATAGAGATAATATGTGGTTTTATCTGAAGGTCACATTAATGTTAAGAACACAGATTCCACCCAAATATTAAACCAGAAATTGCCTCCTACACAACTGCTCATTATAGTGTTTGCCAGGTACAAGGTGGCATTTCAGGAAAAGGAAATTATTTAATTTCAACCAGATTTTTGTCCAGTTACCCGCATATTCGCATTCCTGGACATCACACTGGTGTTCAACTCATGAATCGAGAACTGTTTAAGAGGCAGAAAAGTTTCTAYTGCCAGCAATATCTGACTTTGTCAGTACTGCTGACAACCCAAACTGACCTAAGTATCTGACACGATTAATAATATTTTGTTGTCAATGAATTTTCTTCTTCCCTTCATAAAGCTGTGGTTTTGAAAGCCACAAAGTTAACATGAATCTTCCTTCTATTAAGCAAAATCAGAAGGATCCTGCCAGAGACTAAACCTTTATATGCACAGAAAGGACTAATTAAACATGAATACCTAAAAATACACAGAGGAATTACGAATAATGTAGGTACTTCTATGGGAGATGTTTCCTGGACGGACAGTCTATGAACACATTTAAAATAGTTCTGACCCTGCATGCAGCTTCCGTGTTCCCCTCTTTTCCCCTACGTTTTCAAATATTTAAGGCTCTCCTCCCTCCMCTCACAAAGCGTAAGTGTGTGGTTCAGTTTTTCCTCCGTCTCGTATCCCCTGTGCTTTCAATCTGTTTAGCCACTCCTGCATCCACCCCCCTTCCTCACTTGTCATCCCCCTGCTCTGGCAGCCAAGAGGCCAAGTTTCCGTTTCCTTTGCTGTTAAACGCCTTCTTCCTCCCCGATCCCTGCCTGCGAGCAATAGGAGAGCGCGGCAGCGAGGGAACGGCTCCTCGCTCTGCGTCCCAGCGAGGCCCCTTCCTTCCCCTGGKACCCCGAGGCCTCGGGACGTCCCCAGGAGCGGCTGTGCCTCGGAGCCAAGGACCCAGGAAAGCGGCTGCCGGAGGCGGGATCTTCGCCACCATTAATCGCGGAGCTCCCCAAAGTCTCTGGAGGGCAAAGTCTGCTCACRGGCCTGTCACACGTTCGCCAAATCTGGATGACGCTGTAGGAAATACAACCCTGAATAAACCTGCAAAAACTGAAATTCCGACCGTTTTGGAGGAGCAGGGAGCTATTATAAAGACTCAGTTCTCCCTCCCATTTGTCTGTATTATTTTTTCCCCTCAAAGATGGCTAAGCCTTTCTACTAAAACAAGAAGAAAAACAAAACACAGTCCAAGGCAGACACTGTACGTGGAAAATTTCAATGCAAAAGGAAGGAGTAAGAATCTGACAGCAACGTATAAAAATGGAAATCCTGAGTAATCCAGCCACTCTCAAACTAAAATTAGCCTCTTGTCTGAGGACTGGACCCCGTCTCAGGGCAGCAGTTTCTGATAGCTGCTCATCACGCTGGTGTCTCCAGYGTTTCAAACAGCCTGTCAGAGGTAAAGCCCAAAGGGTGATGACTCCTAATATTGTTTTTGGCAGGTATTTAAAATAGAGGGCAKAGTGTGTCTTTAAAACTGCTGAACAGGACACATGCCATTTCCAATTTGGCAGTTCCTTGAAAACTGCAGTTGATAAATAATTTCGACCAAGGGCAAGAAAGAAGAAACTACTCAGACTTAAAGCTCAAAAAAGGTAGCAAGGGGATGCCCAAGAATGCCTGAGATGTCAAACGGTCAATCAAACAGAAATTATTGTTTTAGAGAAGGAGCAATACTCAGACATGTTGCACATGCACAAATCCACTATGTGGTGCAGAAGCAGAAGGTCGTGAGGTTACAGGAGAAAGTAGGGGTGTGGTGTCCAGCTGGGAGAAACTGCTGGGAGAAACACTCAACTCAGCTGCAACACCCGGGTAGGCACAGGCTGAGGCGCACACACACAAACACACACAAACACACACACACACACACACACACACACAGAGGCTGAGGCGCACACACACACACACACACACACACACAGGCTGAGGCACACGCACACAGGTTGAGGTACACACAAACCCAGGCACACACACACAGGCCAAGGCACACACACACCCTGAGGTACACACAAACCAAGGTGCACACACACCAAGGTACACACACACACACACACACACACACACACACACACACAGGCCGAGGTACACACACACCCTAAAGTACACACACACACAGGCTGAGGCACACGCACACAGGCCAAGCGACACACAAACCAAGGTGTACGCACACACACACACACACACACACACACACACACACACACACACACCCCTCTAGTCGTACAAACACTCGCTGAGGCAAACACACACACAGGCGGATACGCACACACACACACACACACACACGCACACTACTTCACTGCAGGATGGTTCCAGCTGTGCTCCAGATACCAGACAGCTTCAGAGAAACGTTTGGGAAATATTTTAAAAATTGGATTCCACCTGAATGCAACTTCCAGGCAGAGTAAAAGGATTTATGAAATCATCACTCCAATTAACTATGCCCAGTGCTGCTTCCACCATTTCAYACTGTTCTCACCTTGCAGCTCTATCATAGCAGGAGCTCTGAAGCAAAACAATTGAAAAAAAATTTCAACTTTCTTTTTTTTTTTTTTTAGTATTTAACTAAGAGAGTCATTCCAAGAAGAACAAATAAAAGAAAGAAAAAAATTTCCCACAATCTTCCCACAAACCCATAGCTTACTCTTGCAGAGTTTCCACTCCTTTTTCCTTGTATTGGAGCTCTTGTTTCATCTGTGCCAGTTCTCGTTTTAGCCTAGAAAGCTAAATATAACAAAATAGTTTAAAATGATAATATGTAACAGATTTTCTAATTAGAAATCCTATTCAAATACAAAACCTTAAATTAACCGGATAATTCTCAAAATTGGAAGTGATAATCTTAAGTATTTTTCCTTTGCTTTAAAACTTGCATTAAAATAACAGAAGACTTTCTGCAATATCGCAAGATCTAATCAAAAAAAAATACATCCAGCTTTCAGAAGTATCACTTTCTTCATCTGTTCAATTGCTTTTCTATCTCCAATAGCTTATGCTAACAGCCAGCAAGCTTCAAGCTACTCCCCTTGAAACAGACCAACAGGTCTCTACTGTCTTTTATTCTTCAGCCAGTTTAAAAAAAAAAGAAGTCCTTTTTTTTTTTTTTCTTTTTTTTTCATTTTGGGAGAGGGGGAGAAGAATCCATGCCAACAGAAATGGCTTTGTTCAACCTGATTTCCTACGTATTTTTCCTATTATTCCCTTCTATTCCAACCCAGTTACCTTGAAACAACTGGCCAACATAAATCCAAAGTGACAAAGAAGCAAAATCTAAAAATAAATATATATATATATTTGAGAAAGCAATCACACGGATAGATTAGGTCCACCTTAGAAGAGCACATTAAGCACCATGAATGATCTGCCCTTCCAAAGAAAACAGCTTTTTCAAACTGATAGGCAACTAGTAGGCAACTTTTTCAAACTGATAGGCAACTCCACCAATAACGGTGGAGGAAGAGTCAAAGGGACTACAGTTGAAGGGAGGAAACAGAGTGGTCTGAGTCTGGGGCCTTGGGACAGAATGCGTAACTCAAGAGTCTAAAGATGAGATCTCAATGGATAAATTCAATATTTGTGTTGGAAGCAGTAAATCAACACAGAAGACAAGGCTATAAGGGAACGGGAAACCAGGCAGTCTCAGGTGCACAGGCATCAGAACAATTTGTAATTGTTATATTACTACATTTTCACAAGTGTAATGTAGACTTTGATCAAAATTTTAAATTACCCAGATAGATTGTCCACATCATGATACGGAAGTCCTCCAGCTATTCACAACAAAAACCCCAGATCTTAGTCATGGCTAGGATAATTTTAAACATTAAGTTTCAAAATATTAAMATTCTATTTTTAGTCAACATTAGTTTTTCATAATTGGTAAAAACAAAACAAAAATAAAMAAACAAAAAAMCACTTCTTTACTTGCTCAGTTTCCGACATCAGCTAATGGTTTGCAGCCCAGATTAGACCAAAATCACTGAGAGCCACAAACCACAAACAGCTAGGGGAGATTTTCTATTGAAGGGGGGATTTGGGCTAAAATGGTTGTACTGATTCCAGGCAGTTCAGAGAGCACTGAAATCCCTTGGGGCCACAAGGCACCCAAAACCACCCAAGCACATCAAGGAGGAGGCAAGAACAACATCATCCAAGAAGTTCCCTTCTCCTCACCAACTCTTTCAACACTCACCAAGAGTGGTACGAACAAAACACATCACTAGGAGCATGCACACAAAAAAACTTTATATTGCACTTTTTATTGTATTACCTATAACAGCTCAATGTATATGCATACATTCAGTTGAACAGGTCATCCTCTGCACTTGAAGATCATTTTGTTGCAAGACACAGGGACAGAGAGAAACTGCCGTATAACTGACCTTGTTTACTTTCTTTAAATATTATTAAAATAAATAAAGCTTATTTTCTTGTCTGGAATATGCTGACGTTTAGAGCATGCAAAACAAGCAAACACTAGTCAGCATGTAGTAAACATATACAGATAGAATAAATGCCTTTGAAGGGTGGTGAGCAGGATTTATTTTCAGACGAGCTCATGTGAAAAAGTGGTCACTACAACAAAAACAGAGCACCACCCCGCAAAGAGAAGTATTTTCAATTATTTTGCAATCTGAGTGCCTGGCATGCCAATCCCCATTTTAATCATTAATAAAAAGAAATATGTAACATAGAAATAAGACTTAATATTATAAACTGTTTTTTATAGCTGTTGACAACTACAACGTCAGTTTGTTACGAACAATCATGCAAAGCTTCACTCTTCACTAAGGCAGCATGGGACGAATTCAAGATGACAACTAAACTTCCCTTATCACAGCTCCATTCTATACTTGYATTTAGGACTGTATGTCACTATCAGAACACCTGCACAATTTGTTTTGCATTTGCTATAGAACAGCTCTGGGCAAATCAGCTAAGAAGTTCTACGTGGCCAACGCGCCTTCTGAACTGTGAACTGACTTCCAAAGAAAGAGCCAAATGCAGAGCTCCAGTTAGATCTGTGAAACCCCACTGAAATGGGTAAATGGAAAAATAAGAGACCGTAGGGCGAAGCTGCAGTTAAGCAAGAAAGAATTTGGCTGCAGAGTATTTACTACTTGTGGCAGTTTGTATAATATAAGTCACTTTTGAAACCCTGGCTGAGTTTACCTCACTGACAGGCTTGACAAGAATCTTTGCACTTGTAACATGGAAAAGGCATTACTCTGCAAGTCACGGAGTAATAAATGCATATAATTGCAAATACATTGCAATAAATATAGCCTCACTCAAATGGGACAGTAATTCAGAGCAGAAAAGCACTTATTTTCAAAAATGCAGGCAACACTCAAATTGCAAATGTTAAGGAAAAGCATAGGTACAAAGACCCCTTTCCTTCTCCCCCCACTGCAATTTATATATTTACAGCATTGAAAAAGATTACTTACTCTGTCACGACGGCTGGCTATTTCTGCTTTAATCTGATATGGGTCATACTTGGTATTAGTTGAAAATCCAGAGAATGCTAAAGAGATGGAAAAAAAGAAGAAAATAATAATGTAAAATACTGTAACACACTTGTTAAGATGGGGTACTATTTAACAGATAGTTGCATTCTTTCTTTGTGTTACAAGTCAATGGGTTTTAAAATAATCCTCTGTGCTGAAGTGTAACTGAAGAATTATCTTTGGTCTGCCTATAAATAAATAAATAAATAAATAGATAGATAGATAGATAGATAGATAGATAGATAAAATGCCCCAAACAGCAACAACAAAAGAGGGACTATGCAGAGCAGCACTACACACTGCTGAGCAGTATCTGGCTTTCCTGAAAGGATGGCAGCATTTCCTGATGCACGTAATTTGTGTAGCTAACAATTGCTAATTGCTTTCTAAGTACATACATAACAGCACGAGAGGGAGTCGAATAACAAARCTACTGTTAGACCAAACTTCTGCCAGCCAGGAGGAAAGCTTCCTCCTACAGATCCCGTGTGGGGAACCGGCACTCGGATTAATCTCTGGCAGGGGACCTTTTAATGCAGCATATCCAGAGCCAGGCAACGATTTCAAGCTGTGCTGTTGCAAGCAAAAGCCTCGAAAGATGAAGTGAGGTCCCAGAGGCCAGGCTGGCCAAGGGCAACCAGGATTTACTGACTGAGGAGATTCATGTCAGCATCGGCCCGTGGCAAAATGCCTGATATGCAGGGAACTGGGCTCTGCTCTTACACCTACCATCCTGCAGCAAAACTGATGCCTGCTGCACTGAGATGTCCATCTCCACGTCTGCCCTTGGTGCAGCCTCCAGCTGCAATGCTGGGGTCATGTGCAGCAGGCAGCAACTTGCCAAAAGCAGTAGTCATGCCCGGGCTGGTTCTCTAAATTCACGATTTTCTCAGTTTTTTTATTTTTTTTTTTTTTTTTTATTACAGTGGTGGTCATAACTGAGTCATGAAACTGCTTTAGGGGCACCTCCCTGTCAACCCACAGCCACTGAGCTCATCCCTCCTCCCACTCACGCTGACTCAAGGACAGCACCCACAAACAGAGCAGGGGGAAAATATTTGGTGTACTTGCTTTTAATGCAACATACTGAAACAAGCGGCATGGAGGAGGGAATGGTGGCAATCTTGGGTCATTCAACTGGAGTCCAAAACCCCCAAAATGCACAAGCAAGCACCTGAGCAGTCTGGTAACATTAACAAAAAACAAGTGTAGAAACCTAAGGAAATCTCACATAGACAATATGAATATTCCCCATGATGATACTTTATTTTGTTACCATCTAACTAATYAGCTCAATGTTTTAAAATAGATTTCCATAACTTAAGACCAGTATGAAATATTTTAAAACAGTAATTAAAAGTCTTTAAACAGCAATTTATTTTAAAATAATCTTTAAATATTCTGTTTAAAAAAAAAATCACCGCAAGATACATATTTTAAATTAAATACAAGAATGTCATAATTCAAGTTTAGAGGTAAGAAAGGAACATTCGGTCAAGAACATCTGGGACATCCCAGGCCTAGAAAACTTTTATTCAGGGTTTTGGCATACAAAATTCATTAGCTTGAATTAATAAATAGCAACAGTACCAGTAGCTAAACAGTACCCTCAGGTGCCTGCTTTGACAACCTCATGGTCTGGTGTCTTTTTCAGAGAGTTAAATGAAAGCCCCCTATTTATCAASTACTTGGCACTTGCCAGAAAACATCATACTTGAACAATGGCTACAGACACTGAAAATTCACTGATGGAGTGAAAAAACTCCACTATTTTTGCAGGTGGAGCACCTCTGAGTACACCTCATGATCTGCAGTGCCTCTGACGATGCCTGTTCCCCACTTCCATAAAGACAATACACTGGCCATGTAACTGCAGGAGGCTTCCCCTATAAGCTAGCCCCCGTGGCCAGGCTGGAGCAGTCCATACATTTAGGAGTGCAAGGGGCTGGCCCAGCAACATTCAGTCTTCAGCTGGCCTTGCACAAAGCATCCCTGTCGCCTGCTTCCAATTTGGCTGGAGATGCTACCTAGGATATATCCCTTACAGCTAGCTAGGATATATGCCCTACAGTGTAACATTAAAGGCATATTTCTCTGGTGCTGACAGCAAACACGACTCGCTCAATGCAAGGGCAGGGTAGCACCTCACTTCTAGATTTAAAATGGGGCGATGAAAACACACTTCAAATTCTTACAGCATCTGCTGGCAGCGGCAGGCGGGAAGGGCAAGAAAACAGGAGTGAACTCACAGCTGGCATAGGAGCGGTTGTCATCCTCACACATTTTGTGCAGTTGCTGATACTCCTCTTGAGCTAGTTCAAACCGCTGCTGCTTGATTTGGTAAATCTCTTTCTTGGCATTGAGTGCCTCCTGGGCAACTATTAAATACTCCTTCAGCATGCGTTCCTGCTCCCTTCTCCATTGCTCCCTTGGGTCCTCGATTTGTGTGAGCTCTGAGGAGAGAAGCAYAAAAAAAAACACGTAAAATGCCTCATCCCACAAACTACAGATTATTTTGTTAAAGTCTGTTTCTCAGGTCTACAGCAGTACTTAACGAATGAGTTAAAAGCTCAAAAATTTACATGTAATGCCTGTACACAACTAGCGTGCCCAACACTACAGCATCACCCCGGGACAGGCCTGGACAAGGGTAAGAAGGACGCAGAGTGGAGCAGTAAGAAGAGGCCATCTAATTATAAAGGCATTTCTATTCTTCTCACAAACTGGAATTAACCAAAAGAAAGCAGTGTTTGGCTCTGCACTTCCCCAATAGGGAACCTGCACATTCTGAGCAACTAGCTGAAAACCCTGAAGCATGAAGGAGAGCAAAAAGCACCTGAACGTTTAACCCACAACTCTACAGACAGCAGGAACAACCTAAAGATGCCACATCATTTCAATMCCAAATTCAGAAAAACACTGTGGGTTTTTTTTTTACTCTGCTATCTTAAAAAATACTCTCTTGCTTTCTCCTTCAGTGTTTAGGACAGTGTATTCAAACACAAATCTAAGATGGTTTTCCTGTATATACCAGTTTACAAAGCTACTACGTTAAAGTAGTCCCTTTGGAAGGAAACGCATTAAAATCCTGAAAATTTGTTAGTTTATGTTTTCTGTTCACGGTGATACTCAAGGACATTCGTATAGAGTCTCTTATTTAAGCAAATTTTAATTTCTGATGCTTGTGGCTGTCCTGGCAAGAAATCACTGCCAACGCAATGTCATTGTTTAAAGCAGAGGCAGAACTTGCAGCACAGTTGGGAGGTTAAACATCGCATCATTTTTTGCCAGAGAAACGAAGCCAATTATGCTCAATTTTCATATCTTGCATTGCAAATTCAATATGCTAGTGTTTATAATGAAATAAGAAACTATAATAGATTGAACCCAAGAAATGAAGAAGCATCACTCTGCTGCATCTCGCTGTCGCTCTTCAGGAAATTTGTGTGAGTTTAATACTCCYGAAATGGCTATTCCCCTATGGAAAACAGGCAGATATTAGTAAGTATTTATGATGGACAAGCACATCACAGAAAGTGGCCCTTCATGAACAGAAATTTGGTAATTCTAATCTCAGCAAACAGCCAGGGCTAAGTATTACATCAGATTCCACACTAGGCTTTGGAGGTGACAAAGCACTCTTATCRCTTATCAAAAATTGCCCAAGCTTCCTCAAAAGCTTCAGCTTTCCCCTGAGACAGAAGCACTTCTTTGGTCCAGTAGGGATGTTTTCTCCTGTTTTATGAGAATGGAGGCTCCACTTTGCCTTGGATTTCAAAACAAGTCTGCCATGTAATAGCTGAAACTAAAGCCAAATCAGAAGACAGTTTCCTTAGCTCCTTCGCAGCAGATTAAAAATACCACTAATAATAAAAATCCTACCCTAATTCAAAAATGGCCCCAGACAAATGCAGAGAATACATTATTCCCCCAGTGGGGAATGCCCAACTGGTTCAGGGAGACTTCAAAGGCTCTCCAGACTCTGAGGAGGAGGGAAAGGAATTTGGTGGCTGGCAGCGGCCAGAGGGTTTTTAGGCTGGCGGGGAGCCACGGGCAGCCCGGCGAGGGTGTCAGCAGAGCAGCATTTACAGGACRAGATGCACATCGGGGTGGATGCACCGCTCAGGTTTACACCACGTTCTGCCCCTGAGGTGCTCCACTATTCATGGACATCTTATTATGATCTTCTGGGTAAACAAACAAGGCAAGGAGCTGGGAAAAATTACATGTATTACTGTTTTCTCTTAAAAGTTGCAAGGATATACAGACAGGATGCGTTACGTGTGAGAGGTCCCGAGGAGCTAAAGCCCACAAGGATCTCTCTGAATTCTCWCTTGCATTTTGTAACGGTGTTTCCTGAAATCAAGGCATTTCTAACTGTGTTGCCAAGTAATGCAGAGCTCCAAGGCTGCAGGTGATCAGCCACTTACCTGTCCCCACTTCATGACACCTATGGTTATCCAGCCATTAGTTCCCACCTCTATAACACGGCTAATGCAGTTTTCATTTGTTCCCTGGCCATCCATAGCTTAAAATGGACCAAGTATCCCCGTAATTGTTTGCATAATGATTACCCAGCTATAATAACATCGACTCCTCCTTCCCACTGAGTATCTGCTTGTATACACAAGCACTGCATTAGCCTAGGGGTGACAAACTCCTTTTGCTGTGACGGCTGAATTACCGCTCCGGATAATATCTGTGGGTTGCAAGTAATTAGTTATCATGAAAGAGACAAATTTTGCAACCGTGTTAATTGCAGCCTGATCCCGCTCACTCAGCTGAGCGCTGCCGCTGCAAAGCTCCTGCCTCTTACTCATTTACCACCTCTGCTTAATTCCTACCAGCATTAGCTTCGCTTTCCCAGGCCTATTTCTATGAACGGGCTTCTCCTACCCCCTTGATGTCTGTGGTCATAACAAGGGTTGCAAAGCCACATGAAGAGGTGTCCGTAGCGTGGAACGGTGCCTGTTGTGCCTGCCTAAGGCTGCCTAGCCACGGGCTGCGGCTTCCTTAGTCCTCCTGGGCAGAGCACTGCGATGGCAGCTCACGCTCTGACCACTCCCTACAGGAGCCCCATACAGCCTTTGGCAAAGTTAAAAAATAAAATAAAATAAAATAAAGTAAAATAAAATAAAATAAAATAAAATAAAATAAAATAAAATAAAATAAAATAAAATAAAATAAAATAAAATAAAATAAAATAAAATAAAATAAAANAATAAAATAAAATAAAATAAAATAAAATAAAATAAAATAAAATAAAATAAAATAAAATAAAATAAAATAAAATAAAATAAAATAAAATAAAATAACAAAATAAAACAAAATACAAGTGGAGGAAAAAAAGAATCAAAGCTGTTACCAGTGTCCTGATCTTTTTAAATGCTTTCATGCAAAGTGATATTTTTGTGCGTGTACTAAATTAACATAAGCTGATGTGATTTTCTTTTTTTTAATTAAACCAGCATTAACTAAAGGATTTCTGTCCGATTAAATGACAATCATTAAGGGAGCATTTTCTCAACAGAAATATTGTAAGCGTTACCTAACGATCTGTATTTATTGCCTTTCTATTGTCTAGGCTGTCTATCTCGCAATCAGTGTATTAGCAAATCTTAAACAAAGATCACTAATTAAAGAATAAACCCTAATTTCAAAACAAAAAGTGCTTCTGTGGGCCAAACAATATCATGGAAACGTTTGTTACTGTTTTGGTTTTTTTTCATTATTAAGTAATTGTGAAACCACARTACGTAAGCAATCCCAATGAGGGCAGGAAGCCAAGACTATTTCTACACTTTTATTTTTTAATTGACTAGATCTTGAGCAGATAGCACTGACGTTGTTCTTGCAGATTACACTATTTACCACCACTGTGATAGCTCATATAGCCACTTTCTTCTTTCCTCCCTCCCAGGCAAGTGCCAATTCCCACAGTACTGAAAACATTCACTTGCTAGTGATAAGAAGCCTAATGATGGCAGCACAACAGTAACAGCAACAGTAGCACAAAGCTCCAAAGATAAAACACAGCACTTTAAAGGCAGAACTGGTAAATGTGCCAGACACTGGAGATACCAAGCTCAGCAAGGCCCAAAAGGGAAAACAATGGAAATCTTTCCTTTTTAGTTTCCAAAAGGGTCATCTGTTGCCTTTTTTACTTTTCTTTATACTATACAAAAAGCAAAGGATGCAAAACGATGCTTATGAGGGACTATTATATTTCTTATTTAATTTGTAGCACTTTTAATAAAAATCAACACTTTTTTCCAAAAAAGCATTTTGTTTCTCAAGATGTATGAGTAAACTATGGGTCACTGGAAAGACAAGAAATAGAAAAGTGTAGSATAAAAATCTTATCTTTCGATACATGATAAAAAGCAGTAACAAAAATACTGATACTCCACAGGATGACTTAACAAAACAATCTGGGCTTTACACACTGCGTCTCCAAGATTTTACAATTCCCTACAAAGTGAGGAAGGGTAGTGTCTGCATTTGAAAGATCAGGAAACAGATCCTGGAAGAAAAGACTGGCAATCATTATCTCCCAGTAATAAGAAGCTCATAAATGTTATCAGAAACAAAGTTACCGCCATCAGTTAACAGCAGCTTGCTCATATTCCTAAAAATAATCGTACATCCACTCACTATTTATGTGGTCCATGTAATAAACTCCAATCTGTTGATCATAAACAGTTTCCCATCCTAAAGGAAGCTCATCACCGACACAGTCAGCAAATGTCAATGGCTTTGTAATCCTGTAAAAATAGAAATAACAAAAATAAATACAAAAGGTGTGCAGGTTACAGCGCAGTAAGTTATACAACATGTTTTGCAAGCAGCTCCGCGATGCGATCATGAAATAGCTGTGCTGCTTAGGAATGTGCTGATAATGACAAACATACAGTTTCAAAGTCGGATTTTGTTTCAGGCTGCTGACAGATACTCCCCGAGCAGGTAAGACCAGCTTCTCCCTCCAGCTCGCCTGCCCGGCCCTTTCACCAGGATGGCATGCGGTCCTGCCAGGTTCTCTCCCACGCTGCAAGGAGCACAGGAGTGAAGCTGGAGGTCACGCTGCTCGCGGTTACTAGAAGCTTTACAGGCTTTAACTTCTTTCAACTGCCCAAAACGTCCATCTGCTTGTCCCTACAAACATAAAGGCAGTGCTGCACAGCAGATCTCTTTCCAGTTACACATTTCCAGCTATTAACGAGCGCTAGCAGTTCAGATCCAGGCAAAGTACTTCCTCTCCTCCAATAAAGAAGGGAGGCAACCGAAGGCGGCCACCCGGAGCACTCACAGAGCAGAAACACTAACAATTAACAACAGTGTTAATTAAAAGCTCAAAATATCACACCCCAGGCTGAGCAAATTCTTGATAGGTCAGTGGTAACAGAAATACAGAACAGCAACTTGAACATTTAGAGGGACACTGGAAATAYGGAGTTTATAAATTCTAGAGACTCTTAACTAAAATTGTTCTGGGACATCCAGGTACACAGAAAAGCAGAAAAGTGATTTAAATAAAAGTTCTCAGCACTTCAGCTGAATCACGTCTAACTCCAAAAGCATCATTTCAGGTATTACTTGATTTTTWAAATAATGTATTTTTGTCTAAAACTGAGCAGAAGTCCTTTTTGGAAAAGTTATCAATATAATCAACTGTGTTATAAGTGGTATATAGATACACTTTATATGTTACCTAGAATGATGTCAGTTGGTCAAAGATTAAGTACGTGCATTAATTTAGAGACTGACTTTATCTGAGCATAATCTGAATATCACAGAACAGAACTGGCACAAAATGGAAATTCTGTTCCCACATTATAGCACCCAAACAAGGGTCTCCTACAGCCAGAATTCGGATTATCCTTTAAAACATGTTTGGCAATGTAGTGACCATTGGAACTGGTATTTTTATGTCATCTCACAACACCAGTAGCAACCAGTAACTTTGTGCAAACAGGAACATGTCCTCCTGCCACCCCAAAATAAAAGCAGCTGCAAGAATATAACTGCAAAAACCTCAAGTGATGAAAATACTACTATGATATATATATATATATATATATGTGATATAAATACTACCATGATATACTCCAGCTATTTCAAGGGTCCAGCAAGCATTCAAAACATGTAGCATTATCTGTTTGTCTTAATGTTTTACCCATCTAACCACAGAACCTTTTAAATATCCACAACTAGATCGAAAAATCCCTGGTCCATCAGATATATTTTTGGATAAAACTACACAGCCACCACATGTCATCTTTTTGAAGAACCGCAAAACTGCTCTTTGGCTCCAGATCTTAACCCGTTCTTCTGAATCTTTTCAGAAATCTCTACTCATTTTTCCAAACTTTTCAACAGATTTTGAAGCGCTTCAGGCTCAATCATGGAAGAAAAATCAGAAAAATGTGCCCAATTCAATTATGCTCTTTATTTCATGATATAGGGAGCAGGYATACTTTAGGAAAAAACATAAACAGCTGCACAGCAGTACATGTCTAAGGCAGCACTTCCATCGCTCCTCACTAATAGCATACAGCTTCAGACACAGAAAACAAACAYGCATTYATCTGCTTTCTAAAGGTAATTTCCTCCTCTTCACATTTGAATGCTCATTAAAACTAGCTTTAGTAGACTAAATCATTTGTCTTCCCTACCTTACACTGCTGTAATATTTTCAACAGGTTTACACAATAGCCAAGTGGTGTATAATGAGAATAATTAATTTCTTTTTACCATTCAAAGGATATAAAAATGAATTTCAGCTTCTTGAAAATAAGTATTTATTTTCTCAAGATGCTGGAGCTGCAATCCTTATGTGTCCTTAGGTAAAATTATGGTAATTCTGCATTCAATTAGAGGTGACTATCTTCCTCATAGCACAGGGAAAAGAGGGTAAGAACCTTTATGAATTTTAGCATCTCTAAAGGAGAGGCTGGTTRGATGAAATGAAGAGCTCAATCATTCTGTGCTAGAGATTCTTAAACATTCATAAGCAGCTTCATAAAATGGAGAGAGGCACATGAATCTGGACAACTTAATTTAGAGGGAAAGTTTGCTATTACTGACAAATACGTATTTTATTTCATGCAGAACTGGCTATAAAGATCGACTAACTGAACACTGACTAGAACTCTACTAAAGACTGGTGCATTCAAGAAACTGTTACTGGGGCTTGACATACGCATCCTTCTGGGAATTCATCGCATAGTTTAGAGGGGCAGATATTGCCAAAATATTTCTGATCTCCCTGGAATTCAGTCAAAATATCAAAATATTAAAAATACAACACAGAGATTTTTTTTTWAAACGTGGATGGCTTTGTCCTGAAGATATCGTGTGTACAGTTTCTCAAAGCAGTCTAGACACTGGTTCTTAAATTACCGCACCGCAGACAAGCTCTGCTTTGGAATGAGTTAGGAGACGTGCTCGCCTCCTACGCACCCAGACGACCCCCTGGCTCATAAACAAAACCCACGCACAGAATCACAGAGCGGTTGAGGTTGGAAGGGCCTCTGGAGATCATSTAGTCCAACCTCCTGCTCCAGCAGGGACACCCAGAGCACGGGGCACAGAGCGGCATCCAGGCGGGTTGGGAAGGTCTCCAAACCCGGCGCTGCTCCCACCTCTCACATCACCACAAGGGGAGTTGGTGGGTGAATCCCACACCCCGTGATCCCACCACRGCTCCAGCTCCCTGGAGAAGCCAGGGCTCCTTTTGCTGCAGCAAAGGGAGCCTGAAGGAAGCGYCGCACCTGGCACAGCAGGTTTTCGTTCTGATGCTGCAAAGCATCCATGAATGGCAAAATTAACGGTCTTAAAGAAAACCCGGGCAGAAAAAGAACATATAAAAAGCTTTCCTTCAGACATTCGGACTATTTTCTTCATGCCATTTGCTTTAAACTATATTAAAAGCTGCTCCAGTTTGGATTTCCTTCCAAAGGAGCATGAGGTTGCACTGAAGGCTCTCAGTTCAGTCCTATTTCCATCTCYGCAGCTTGACGGCTCTTCATTCAGCTGAGCTAAGTGAAAATAAGCACAGCTTAAACTCAGAATTGAAAGTTTCTCACTGASTTTCGCAGTGTTTGCAAATTTGTGTTTGCAAATTACAATTTGTAGTTGTAATTTTTCAAGTTGATTGCAAAATTACATTTCTCCTTTAACCAGCACAACTCAGCACACAGTATCTCAGCTAGGGGTAACAGAGGTTTCCAGAATAATAAAGAAAAAGTTGCTGCAGATGCAGATAGGGATTTTGGAGGTCAGCCACTACCTACACCACTAGGCTATTAAGTATCTCCTGGAAGTACCACTTTCCCCTCTGTTTTATTGAAATTAGCTTCAACTCTTTAAAATAGGACAGCTCTTTTTTTTTGCTTCTATATAAGGACTTGCACACGGTACGAGTACATCTGTGAAAACATTTCAAAGCCTTAAAATAAAGACAGGCCAGAAAGGAATCAAAATACTACCATCTCCCATGACACAAAAAGCCAAACAAGACTGCCCTGAACTCTTCTCCCACCTATTCGCAATAGTAAAGAAATTAAAAATGCTTTTTCGCTGCCACCAAGGCTCTTCTCTGGTTCCCCATGTAATATAAGACATCCGAAAGTAGATTCTGCACATCTTGCTGGAAACAGAACTCCCACGGGAGCAATTTTTAACATTACCTGGTTGAGGCCCCTGGATCTACAGCCACTGTGCAAATGGAAGTTGTCCAGGGTGGCCCTTCTGCCATCTACCCAAGTGCCCACCAGACTGTTTAAAAGGCAAGGAAGAACAAGCGAGTGCTCTGTCCTCTTGGAAGGTCTGATGATGGTCTCCAYGTACCAGACACCCATTCTTATGCGGCTTTGAAAACCTTCAAAAACAGTTACCAAAAAACACAGGAAGCTCCTAAAGCCGAAATCCTGTAAACTGAGCTGAGAAACGCGAGAGTGGCCACGTGCTTCGGCTCTGCCACCTCCAGCCCTACCCAAATCAGATGTTTTCACTCAAAAGAAGTCAGAGCCCGGTATCTGCACGCAGTAAAACAGGACATATTTCTGAAAAGTTAGTTTTATTCGTTTTCTCGGTATCAAGTATCAAATCACAAAATAGAAATAAATGATCAGCAGAGCATGACAGCTTGACTGAATCCCCTGCCTCCTTATTCTCTCATTCCTTTAATCCGCTACAAACACTGATGCAGTTTTCCCGCAGGTAASAGGTGCTTCCAAAAGCATTGGCAGCCCCTTCTGAATACAAAACACCCGCAGAGATTTCAGGAGGGCAACAGCTCGTGGTGGCAGACAGCAGGGAAGGAGAGCAGAGGCCAAACGAAGTAACCAGAAATCATGTTAGATAAATCACTGCCCTCTGCTTCAGCATTCTTTTTAAGAGAATCTAATTTTAACCCGCAAAAAACAGAAAAAGTTGGACCCTTAAATGATATTAGAACACTTTCGAAAACAGAAGGAGAAATGCTTCAGCTCTCTGACCCTCCTAAACAGAGTCTGGCTGTTAGTGTGGGGCGACACTTTCTTCGTCTACATACTTTCAAAACATGGACTAGATCACAACCAATGCAAGACACCAAAAACATTAAACTCTTGCCTGTGCCTTCTGGCACATAAAAGGTTCCTGGGTGCCTGAAATCTCTAGAGCTAAGTGAGCAAAAATTCCACCAGCAGAAACTAAATCAAGTTTTTGCCCTATCTCCAACAGCAATCAAAAATCCAAGTAGGATCTCCACAGAAAACC